ACGTCACGAAATGCATGTCCCCCCGCATCGGAGTGCATCGAAACATGGAAAAGCAAAGGCTTTCCAGATCTTCACCAGAAGCGGGAGGCTGGCCCTCAGCTGCGTCGAGAACATCTTACAGACGAAATGTGCGCCTCAGTTGAACGTACCCGCTGAGGACTCCTCGTCTCTTCCTAAAATCTGGGCGTTGCTGCTCGTTTGCACGGGGGCTCTGTCCCATGGGCATTCTGACAGGCCGATTTCGAAAGCGCCAGCGGCGCTGCACAAAGGCGTCTGCCCGTCAACGCGGGTGGCCGGTCAACGTGATGTCAGAGACTGGTCCAACAATCCTTGTGATGCGAGCAACAATGTGTGCGCCGGAGGATTTCCGGCGCATGCCCCCGCGAGTTGTGCCGAAGTGGCCTCCCCCGACAGTGCGCAATTGGCGCGCCGCAAATTCGAAAGGCTTGAAGCGTGGGGAAAATGGTAATGTAATATTTGATGAATTGAAGCGATTGAGAGGTGGGCGAAGCAGCGACGCCATGATATCCTTGCCTGCATATGCAATGTCCCTTCTCGACTGAGAGAATTGGGCGGAAAGAATCCCGGGAAGCGGGCGGTGGTGGTGGGGATGGCGGGTGCCTTGATGTCCATCCACACGTTGCTAAGCACCGATGTCGTGACATTCTTCGATGTCGCGATGGAGCGAAAAGGCGACGCAGCTGTCATTCCACTTGGAGTGGCCAAAAGGTGAAGCTCAATCTGGCAACGATACTGTGCCGGCAAATATCGGATCCGTCGACTCTGCGTCCGTTCCAAATGGGCTGAAATGGTCCACACTGTGGTGTACACCGCAGCAAAGTGCTGCAGGGGAGGGTTTGCCATAAGGCTACCACCGAATGGAGTTCTTCATTTGGGACACTGTCTCCTGAGAATCCGGGTCAGTCTTGACGTCAACTCTTAAATACCCCGTGCGCACAACTTCCCGAGGTACAGTGGCACAGGCGTCCTGTTGGTCTACGAATATCAAGGCTCCACAAGATAATAGCTCATGTCCGGTCTTCCGAAACCTTCCAATTTCTCGAACTTGGAGAAGCCTGCTTCAGAAGTAAGACGGCGGGCAATGTCCTGCAGGACCAGGGAAAGCGTCTTCAACGGCACTCACGCTCGCTGCACCATTTGTAGCTCGGTTTACGGTCCTGATGTGGATAAATTCGTGACGGGTACGAAAAGCTGATGCCAAGCGGCTGTGCAATGTCATACACTGAGTGTAGTACACTGAGTGTGGTGCACTGAGTGTGGTGCACTGAGTGTAGCACACTCCATTGCATTGCGTAGTACGTGTTGGTAGCACCCAACAGTATACCTTGCTGTCAGCATGGGGTGGCTCAAAGAAAACAACCTTAATGTTGTATTTACCTTTTGAAATCGCAGTGCACCGTTTTTTGGTGTCCGCCTGTCCTTCCCACTAGCCGTACTGTCGCACTATTCTTCTACGAACTCAACAGAATGAGGGAGTAGTGCCTCAATTGCAAATGCGTAGTAGTACAAAAGTTGTCATAGAAGGACAAAGGGTAGTTTACGCCTTTATGTTATGATGCCTTGGCATGCTTTTGGGATCTTTCAGTGCTGTGTACACGATGTTCAAGGCACTTCAGTAGTTATTGGGTATAAGGCGCACAAACCAGAGCGCCACAGAAACCCGACCACAGCAGGTGTCCGCACTGTGTGCGCAACCCTGCTTTGGACCTTCAGAAAGGATGGAAAAGGCAGGGCGCATCAGTCACGATCGGTCGAGTTTGGCGCTTGCCCAGTCCGGCAAGGTGAAAACAGTGTACGTTACTCTATTTGCCAAAACCCGCAGTGCTTTCCGTCAGCTCAACGGGCTGTGTGCCCTGAGCACTTCAAACCAGACTACAGCGCCAAGCCATTACCTCTAGCAAAGGCCAAACCACTGTCAACGCTTGCTCCCTTCTTTTTCTCTCATACTATTACAATATACTGCAATAGCATTACTAATTCTACCATTACCAAACTGCGTGAATGCCGTCGGGCTTTAGAGCATCTTCAAATGCAAGCTTCGCATCTTTGGTCCCTGGCGGATCAGGGCGTGTTCCAGCCGGGGAATGCATTAGCCCCTCTGTCTTTCCCGTGAGGATCCCTTCGTCCGCTGGCAAGGCCAACGCCGCTTAGTGGGTCAGTAGTTTTAGGTTTGAGGGTGTGCGGAAACAAGAAGGGATCTTGTCGTGCCAGCCGAGTCGAGGCAAGCGCCGCGCTCCCCACCTCCGTCAGGCCCAGCGTCCCCAGGCCCATGGCGCCCTCCTGCGACATGGCGCTGGACATGCACAGCAGCGTGGAGTAGCCGTAGAACAGCGCCGCCGCCTCCGGCATCTCCGATATGTTGGCCCCCGGGCTGTCGCGGCCCTGGAAGTCGCCAATGAGGTACCTCCCGCCGTCCTTCACGGCCTGCCGCACGGCGCCGATCACGGCGTCCGGGCGGGGCATGTCGTGGATGGCGTCCATCGTGTACACGAAGTCGAAGGTGCCCTCGCTGGGCATCGGGGCCTCGGTGTCCGGGTTGACGAATGTCGCGTTCGTGACCCCCAGCTCCTCCTGCCTGCGCCTGGCCGCGGCCAGGGCGTGGTCGGAGTTGTCGTAGCCGGTGAAGGTGCTGGCGGGGAAGGCGCGCGCCAGGGTGAGGAGGCCCTCCCCGCAGCCGCAGGCCACGTCCGCCACGGGGGCGCCCCTCTCCAGCAGGTCCTTTAGGCCCGGGATGGTGCAGAAATCCTCCACCATGCAGTGCCGCACCCACACGCTCAGCTCCCGGCTGACGCCCAGCGCCAGGTCCTGCGCGGCGCCGTAGTCGTCGTACCTGAGGCCCAGCCCCGTGCGGAAGGAGTCCTTGAGCTTGTGCACGCCGGAGGATATGCCCACCATCTGCTGTGCCACGCCCGCCAAGAAGGCCGGCGAGGCGTCGGGGCCGGTCTCATTAGCCATGGCGTCCGCCTGCACGGGCGTCATCCAGAAGTGTCGACCGTCGGCGTCGGCCGTCAGCAGCCTGGCGGAGGCCTGCTGGAAGAGCCACTCCCTCACCCACCTGCACGGCAGCCTATTCTGTTGGCCCATCATGGTTTCTGATCGCAGTTCGCAGCTGGCATGCTTTTGTGGTGCGCCAGGGCCCCCCGGAGCGCCAATCTCCTCTTCTTTGAGATGGTGCATCCATTTTGACGTGAGCAGTCTTTGGAATTCACAAAGCCCTGTACTTTTTGTGAAGGGCACAAGTCCCACACATATCGCACTGGCTGGAGTTTGGTGTGCAAACTCCTGAAACTGATGTTATGTGTTGGAGAAACAGTTCGCAAAGCAGACAGAATCCCCTCACCTGCCTCCCCACACTAGCCTGCTCCTGGACCCTGCCAACCCTTCTCTGTGTGTGGACTTGTGTGCTAGGACAATTGTGAAACCAGCGTGTTGCAACGTGGATGGGGCTCATGCGGGGGTGTCACAATGTGTTGTCAAAGCGGAATTTGGCTAGCCTACGTCCTGCAATTCAAATAAGCTTGGGCCGTACTTGTGGGTGCCACAAAATGATTTCGTCCTGGGCACTTCTGGAATCAGCTACGAGAATGGTTGCCAGCTCAGAGGGAGGTCGGTGCACAAGGGCTGCCAGCTGCCAGATTGAAGGATTGCAACAGCAGCAGCAGAGCGAAAACTAGCCGCAGTGCTTTCTGGACATACCCTAGCCCCAAGCGTCGAAAATTGAGCGTGGCCCATGGAATGTTCTGAGTCTGCTGTGCTGGGAACACAAAACACGACCGAGAGATGGGCATTCATTGGCGCCCGTTTTACGCGTTTGGAGTAGTTTGCAAAAATTGGTAGCCCAGAAAATATCCAGTTCGACATCTTTGGTGAGGATGGACGACAAATGGGAAACATACAATTGTGCAAATGTGCCCATTATCGCCTCGAACATGCAAGGGCATTGTTTTGGCCCAACAAAACACTTGTCACAGCTGTTGCACGAAGACACTCAAGCCAAGGCGGATTGTCATTTCTGCGTCACCTTTCATGAAGCCCACAGGCCTCAGCCAGGTCGGCACTCGTCGTCTTCCCCAGCCTCTTCAGGGCGCTGTACAGACCCAGCTGGTCTCCAAGCTGTGTACAAGGGAAGACACACCAGCCGTCAACAAGCCTTGCAAGCCAGGCTCGCCTTGGTGGCTCCTCTGAGTATTTCTCTATCTACTTCTTCACATATTTAGGACATTACTTTGCAGGCTCATGAAACACAAAGATCTCCACCATACCAACCACCAAGGTGCCACTTCAGTGATTGCTTGCAGTGTGAAGGCGCGTACGCCTACTCACATATATGAGGTTTGTGGTCAACGAGCCAGTCAAGTAGCCAGTAACACGATCAGCGAACTGCTCTGCAGTCTCCGTGCTGCCGTTGTCAGAGGCCATCGCGATGGCTACTAGTCTGCACACACAAAACAGAGATGTGACGTGTCCACTATCTGGCTTTCACGATGCCTGCAAAAAACTGCAGCTGAGCGTCGCTGCAGCCGGCCAGGCGTTTGCAGGCAACAGCGATGTTCAGGATGATGATAGTTTTGGCCTTGAATCAGCGCAACGAACCTTGTCTATCAAGGACGCTGAATTCTGATTCACTGTACCGCCCGCACTGGCAGTGCCAGTGGGCTTGGCTCGGACATGCGCGCTGCAGACACTGCGAAGATGTTTGCGCAGACTGTGGCAGGAGGTTGCTCGGGATGCCGCGTGCGCCCGTCAAAAAATACCACGTTACGCTGCTCCAAGGCCAAAACTATCATCATGCTGAACGTCGCTGTTGGGCAACAGCTGTGGGCAATGCCTGCAAACGCCTGGCCGACTGCAGCGACGCTCAGCTGCAAGGCTCGGACGCGCCGCGCTGCAGACACGGCGGAGACGCTGCGCAGGTTGGGGCTGGAGGCCATTTAGGACGCGGAGCGCTCGTGACAAGCCCCGTGCGCAAAAACTCGGGGCCCAATGCCGCTGCCTGCGCGACGCAGTTGGGCGCTGCGCACCAGCCGTCTGGGGATCTGGACTCCACGGCGCTGCAGTTAAAAGGAAGGGCAGGGGGAAACGGGTTGGGGAAGAGAAGGGGCCAGAGCAGAGACGGATAACGGGCGGAGGGGCGACGTCAAACTGTCGCGCGCTTCCTCTGCGCGCTCGCGGTTTGCTGCCGGGAAAGGGCGCCCCTCGCCCTTTTAACTCTCGCCGTCGTCAGACCGGCCACTGATGTTTGACAGACAGCTGTCCAGCGTTAGCACAGCATTAGTCATCGGCACAACAATTCGAGCTATGCACACATGGTGGGTGGAAGGTGCGGCGTGTGGCCTCCAAACTGGCTGTGTGCGGTACAGCAAGATTTCGAGGAGTTTACAGCATGAGCAGGTTCGCCATCCGGAAATTTCTGGATAGTATGCTGCGTGAACGCTGTCCTTATTCTGATAAGGACGGCGCTAATATTAGCATGAATGCGGCATCGATGGCCATGACTGCAACAGGTTTGTTGCTTTGCTGATATGTTGATGCTGAGCAGCGTAGCACAAATGCCCATTGCAAGCATTTTATAAGCACCAGTGGTCACGCGTGGCAACTTACTGACCCGGTGGCGTCAGTGGCGCCAAAGGCAGTCAGTTCAACAAGATATTGATGCGCGAGAGTTGCTGCAACGATGCTCAGCAGTGCATCAACAAAGCCGCTGCAGCAATGGCAATCACTGTTGCAGCAGCGCTGCCGCCGGCATTTATGGGCGCCCTTGAGGACAAGCTTGTCTTCGGTCGTTCATTATGATGTCCTTGTTGAGCCGACCTCTAAGACACGGCGCGCATGATGGTCAAAGTGCCAGGTGGCTGCAATTGGTCACGGATGTCGGACACGGCGTGCTTTTCAAAAGCGCGGCCGTGCTTCCTGTGTTTGCTTGCCTGAAACGCACAAGGTAGCGCGTTCCTCTCTACCGATCCCTCCTATAGGCTGGTACACCCTATTGCCTTTGCATCTGACAGGCATTTGAGATGTGGCACTCCAGAGGAATCGAAGGAAGACAACGAGAATTGGTCACCATGGTGTCCATGTTGTTACACCAGAACTCACCGCCTAACGAGCACTAAGTTCATGGGCTACATTTGTCAAAAGGAGCGACAAAACAAGGCATCACATTGCACAGGTGTCGAGGTAAACCCTTTGACGGGCGCTGAAGCATCCAAGCAATGCAAGTTCATCGTCTCCTGTTCACATGTCCGCAGGTCGCCGCTCCTAACAAAGCGAAAAGGACAGCAGAGAACCACAAGTCACCCCCGTTGCAGCTGGGCAACAAAAGAACATAGGCCGCAGTGGAAGCACGCACGAAAAGGCTGAAGAAATACCAGAATTGCAGCGAGGCCCAGCGGCGCGCAAAATAGAACTGGGGAAATTGGATGGCCCTGGTAAGCCAACGGCTCGCCGCCAATCTGGGGTCCCACTCACTCACCGCACAGTAAACGTGCACAAAGCCCAGGCAGAGAGCCCCAATTCAAAACTCCCACAATTCTATAACGCCCAGATTATGACAGGTCATATTCAAGCGGTGCTTCGCAATTGCCGACCACCGGGTTCAGCACATGGAAATGCGATCTCCATCTTCGTTTACGCCCCACAGATTGACAGTCGGAAAACCGGCGCATACACAAAATATGGCGGTTGTGGTGGAAATAATTGAATAAATACCGTGGGATGACCATATTTGCATGAATGTGCAGAAACTTGTGAGCCAATTTATGTGGTGGAAACACAGAGCTAGTCCTACGGCGTTAGCCATTGGGACACGAAAATCTTGAGCAGAAAACGCGTTCATTTCGTGTCGATTCACAATGGGACAATGTGGAGCGCACAACAATCCTTTGCAAACCCAAGCGAGCACAAGAAGCAAGCATGTTCTTCCGCTGAAAGGTGAGCGCCCCTGATTGTTAAATGTGACGTAAATTCTTGTAATTGGATCGAGAAGTACAAGTCATGAGTTGTATTTCACTGATCAGTCATTGGAACCTCCAGTGCACAGCAGACTGCATCCAAGAGTACACAAACTGACACACCGTACGTTGATCCACACTTCTGTCACACAAAACTGTGCGCGGAGTCAAGCGCGACATGGCCTTCAAGGCGCAAGGGCAATGGTTTGTTATACTTTTTGACAAATGTGATCCGCAAACTCAAGCCACTCATGCTCTTCTCATCTCCTGGTTATGATCCTACATCGGCTTCTGCTGGAGAAGGATCTTTGCATACTTTACGCTTTGTGGGGGAGATCCTTTGTTTATCTTTTGATGTAATACATTGGAATAAAAAAAAAGCCACTCATCCCCCGCCACGTCCGACCGCATCGCTGGATCCCTTGGCCCTCGGCGCTCCACGAGGCGTCTTAAAACGTGCAGCCCTGCGGGCCTGCGTGTCCAACAGCCCAAACCCAATGGTGCGAATGAGCCTCATCAAAACCCGGGCAAATGGCCCTCCCGACGTCAACGAGGCAGACACAGCGGCATGCCGCGCGCCCGGGAAAGGAGGGAAAGGAGAGGCAGGAGCGGCGCACGCAAGGACGCCGCCATGCTGCCGACGCAGAAACCAACTCAGGCCACCAATCTGAGGAAGAGGGTCGTCAGGGCCACGGTCGTCGTCACCTCGATGGTGCGGACGGCGCTGTGTTGCTCCTCCCATGTCACCCTTTTCGCGCCAACGCTGCGTTTGTGCTCGTCTTCGTCGGGCGGTGCCAACCGGAAGGCGTCATTTTCAATTCGAGATTCGAGCCCCGATGTTGACACGATCCGGGCGCATCTGGGCGCACCTTGGTGCGCGTGTCAACACCGTGGACGTTGTACCTGCGGTTGACAATCGGGGTCGCGCGTGGCGCTGGGTGCGGCGGACAGCAGGGGAGAGTGTCAGCTGCGCGGCGGCAACGCGGTTGAGTGGAAGGCGCACTGTCGAGAGGAGGGCAAAACTGGGCGGGTTGAAAGCGAGGAAGGCCACTGGTTGTGCCCGTTGGTGCTGTTGTTGGCCAGAAGTGGTGGGCGTCCACGGTGAACTGGCGATATATTTCCATCACCTTCTGATGGATCTCCAGTGCGTCTTGAGCATGGAGTGTCTTTTGAACGATGGGGGCTTGCGCCGTGCGCCTTGAACGAGAAAAACTGCACCGTGTGTGCGCAAGGCATTTGATTGCATTTGTCTAACAGGATAAAAACGATCCAGCATTCACAACGCGGCAGAAGGTTGAACACGGGTTGGCCTCGGGGTTGCTGTCGTCACTGGCTAGGAGCCTGTGCAAACAGCACTGTGTTAGGATTCTTAAACTGACCCTGGCTTGGGCTGCAGCCCAGAAGTTCCAACTCGCAAGAGCATTCACGGCAGTGAGGCAGCTGCGGAGGAACCAAAGCGAACGTCGTGGGACTCCCCATGTGTAGGGTGTGTTGGTCTGCGGCAGTGCATTATTGCAACACTTTGGCACTTGCACTGTTGTTGGCTGTTTTTCCAGGACATCGCCAGCACCTAATGGCAAATTTCCTGTCTTATTCGAAGCCTGTTACTTGCTAGAGAGCTGCTACAATGTGGGCTTTCGCGCAGGACAGCAGCTGTTTGGCTTTGTTGTCACAGCATGAGGATAGCGCGACCTAACTGCAGCAGCGTTTGCATCCCAACACAAGGACAAACTAGTCACTGGCCTGCCAGAGCCAAGCACATCTACAGCAGCTGACATCTGTGTCAATAGATATGCATGACATGCTGACCGCCAGCAATGGTCAGTGGGGGAACACCTTGTTTTGCTTGCAGTGACAGCTCCGCTGTGTTGTTGCCGGTGGCCCACAGGTAGTGATGGCTGCAATACTTATGTATGGCATGGGAGCTGTCGGCTTCAGCCTGCTACAGACACAGCCCCAGGTGTACGACTTCGAGGTTGTGAATGAGTACCCCCATGACCCTGCAGCATTCACCCAAGGTGCATCAAAGACTTTGCAGAAAGGCCCGTTTTGGTCACAAGCATGGATTGTAATTGCAGTTCGAGTGTGAGGACGAGCATGGAACATGATGCCATATGGTGCTGTGGCTCCCTGCAAAGTGCGTGTGAATGTGAGTCCCTAACAAAAAGGCACCTGGTACAAAGTACCTCCTCTAGTGGACACAACTGCATAAGATCACACGTTGCCTAGAGCTCAGAAAACCAACCACAATGTGCATGCAAAGTGTGCACTCATGTGCACACACGCAAGTGCACACACGCATGTGCATGTATGTCCTGATGCAAATCGTGAGTCACAGTCATCTAACAACATCCCACATTGGTTATCCCTTTGAATATGTTGGCCCTTTTCCACCTGACAGAAGTATGGGCATACTGCCGGCAAGAAAACAGACAAAGTAAATTGTGAAGGGTCCTACACAAGAGTCTCATGTGTGTGTGTGTGCACGCGTGTGCTGTGATCCAGCGCACCTGCGCAAGTTTAGTTTGTAAGGGGAACAACTTTGTCATCGGCTCATTCGCTCCAATTCGTGCTGGTGACTTATTGGGTTAATATACTGCCTGGATGGCGTGTGTGTCCAATTGCAACCAGCCCACTGCGTCAGGGAATGATTTGTGCAGTCTGCTGCTGCAACTTCCTGTGCTGTTGGGACCAGGTCTGCTGTACGATGAGGAGTGCAACTCTACAGGAGAATGCAAGGGGATATTCTGGGAGTCAACTGGTGTGGTGGAAGTGGAGTGTTTGGAACTGAAGCATGGCTTGCGAGGGAATAATAGAATTCAGCAGGCATCAAGTGTCTCCTTTGCCATCCCGTGCCTATTGCAGCCCTCGGTACACATTCGTCACTTGGGACAAGTAGTGTGGGTGTGCGCGTGTACTTGCCATGGTAGATAGATGGTTGTTGTATGGCAGCAGTTGGTTGCTGCACAGGCTCCCATGCCCACTTGATTGCTAGAAGTTCATGACAAGTACGGTGCTGTAAACCTACCATTGGCAATTGTTGACTGACAATCATATGCATGAGAATTGTATGTAAAGACAATGGATAGAAAAATATGGATAGCAGTTGGCTTGGCACTGACCACAGCTTGCTGTAGTTGGGCTCCAGAACCACAGCATCCAATTGGCCTAATGGGCTTTGTCCTTGTGCACTGTGCTTTGGCCCTGATCACTCCGCATCCCCGTCACTTTGGGCCATCGAAAAGGTCCAGAGTCCCAACGGATTAGTTTTCGTGGATGATTTGGAACTGCGAATATATTTCTTGCACAATTCGGCAATTGACTGCCCTTACATTTATCAGGTAATATTTGGCAAGACATCGCATCCTGAAGATGCGTGCCGTGTCTCCGTAGGACTGTATGGCAGGTCAACTGTCAGGAAGGTGGACATGGAAACGGGGGAGGTGCTGATGGTGACGCACAACGAGCCAGAGCACTTCGGCGAGGGCCTGGCGAAGTTGAATGGACTGCATCAGCTGCTGTGGCGGATCGGCCTTGGCTTCACGTATGACACCAAAACGCTCGAACGGGTAACCTGTGCTCTGGACCAGCTGGTGCAGCATCCTTGTGATCTTGTTGATGTCAAGGATTGTTCCAACGCATATGCCCTTGGGGGCAGCTCTGCCACAATGGGGAGGCGCTGTCAATGATGCAACAGAAGTTTGTTGCTGTGCACTCCAAGGCAAACATATTGAAATTGTTTCCGACACTGTTGACCTGTGATGGTTGTCGCAACTACATCAACTTCTGCGCTGGGTTGTTTGTCCTGATGTTGGGCAGACAGCGCTGCAACGGGAATGCCATCTGCTCCGTTGATGGAGCGTCCGCTCTAACGATGGATTGGCTGCAGAATGGCACCTTCGACACTGGATTGAGGGATGGGTGGGGTCTGACGACCGACGGCAAATGGCTGCTTGCCACGGACAGCGGGCCCAAGCTGTACTGGCTGGATCCTGAAACACACATGGTGGAAAAGTCGTTGACCGTCACAGATGGGGGACAGGCTGTAAAGAAGCTCAACGAGGTGGGTGTGCACCATGCACTTTTCATGTTGGATGCATCGTTCTTCTGGCCGATCGATGAGACCCATCCAGGAATGACGGCTTGTCTGTGGACCTGCGTGCAGAAGTGGTGATGATGCACTCAAAGAAGTGCCTCTACTTTTAAAGCACAAGGGACTTGCGCACTGGAAGATGCCTTGCTGTCCCGCACTTTCGTCCGTCATAAGTGGTCATGCGTGGCATCAATTCTTTGCAAATATTCCCAAAGTTGGCCCACTTTCATTGAGGGTCAACTTTCAGAAATCGCTGTGCCACCGTCCCCGTGCTGGCAGATCTCCAAGCCGGTTGACAAGCTTGAAAACTTTGATTCCTTTGACTAGGGCAGTGGTGTGTGTCTGAACTTGTGTGTGCGGATATTGCAGCTGGAGTGGATCGAGGGGGAGGTTTGGGCCAATGTGTGGCTGACGGACTGCATCGCAAGAATAGACCCCAACAATGCACAAGTGACTGGCTGGGTCATGCTACAGAGCCTGACGGCGGGGCTGCGCGCACGGAAGCTTCCACAGAAGGATCGGATGGACGTCTTGAATGGTGCACAGTCCCACCTTTTCCCAGTTTGAAGTTCGTTTAGGAGCATAAAGCAACACCGTACATTGTTGCTCCCAACTCTCCAATTTGGAGTAGTCACCCCAGGCTCCGCAGCAATAGAGGGCACAAACGTAAGTGCCAGCACCGACTCTTGCTGTGCTGAACATAAGGCCAGTATTGCACTACAATAAGAAACGGAGGGAGAATTGCCGCTCTGACAGAATCTGCTTGCAGCAAATACAGCAAACCGTATTTGAGTGGTATGTGTTGCAAGTCTTCAGCATGCAGCTGTTGATGACTTGGCCTGCTGCTTCTCAGTTCCTGTTGCTGTCTGTCCAACAACGCGCAAGTATGCCACTATAGGACACGTTTCGTACCTGGCACCCATGCATGCTGCTGGGCAACGCAGGCTCTATCAATGTTTTGCCCCATTCCATACGTGATTCCGTTTTGCTGTTGTCTGGCGCATTGGCACGCATGTAACCTTTCGTTCCGCCGCCTAAGCCACTGAGTGACTCCATTTTACCTCACCACAGCTGCGTGCTTGTTTGGCAGGGATCGCATGGGACGAAACGCGAAGACGCATTTTCGTCACAGGCAAACTTTGGCCCCGCATGTTTGAGATCAGTCTGGTGCGGAGACCCAACGTGGGCGAAGAAGAGCTGCAAAAATTGCGTACAATGTGCATTCCACGGTGACCCCTGGAGGTTTGGGGCTGCGCCTCAATGTGTAAAATCGGAGAGCTGATCGGTGGGCCCTTGTCGCTGTCTGTTGGGACGCCTGAGTCTCCCACCAGTAAGTCTCACGCCAGGCGCCCTCTGCAAAGTGTGGATGCTGCTGGTCGGCATTGCACATTCTGCAACCGCTTGAGTTCGTAATCGTGCTTCGGCTGCGTTCGACACAGCACTCTCCTTGCAGCTTCAAAGGAATGATGGGACAATGGCTGCCACCACATGAATTGTGTCTTGGACTGCTATGTCCGTACTCTCCATCTGTAAACAAAGCAAGAGCAAATGCGCTTTGGAACCCACTCATTTGTTCCCATTCGTGTCGTCAAGGGCATTAACCGCCATGGGCTCCTTCCTCATTCTCTGCCAACTCTTATGCCAGCAGCACGCAGCAGGTGAAACCACACCAATGGGCGCGTGGAACACACCTGCGGCCACGTGTCAGTTGGCCCTCCTCTGGCCCTGAATTGTGACGACGATCGTCCTTGGGCCGCCGTAGTTTCTATGCTCGTTGAGATATATCCCCTGCCAAGTGCCTAGTGCAAACCGGCCCTGGCTGACCGGAATCGCCAAGCTGGCCCCCATCAAGGAACTCTGCGACACCCGCCACCATTGACATGTCAGCACGTGCAACAAAACAGCGGTCACCTTGTTTCCGTCCCCAGCTCCAAGCGGAAGGTTTCGCCTGGTCCTGGCAGACCCGCTGTTGAGTTCCGCAGCATTCCAGCGTTGCTATCTGCTGCAGCCTGGCTGGAGAATCGAGCAAGTGCCAAGCTGATAGATCAGTGTGCGCTGAACGTGCGGCCCGCTGGAGAGGGGACATTGGCCACTGCTTTATGTGGTCGATAGACATTTCGCGAGCGATCGGATTCGCAACATCCTGATCAACGTGACAGCTTGTCCCCCGCATTGTGAACGCGCTTGAAGTCCTGGAGGAGTGCTTGCTGCCGGGCAAGGCTCCACTGGGCTCGAGTGACCAGGGTTGGACGGCGCCGTGCTCCTGTTTTCCTGTGCCCACTTACATGCCGAACATCGCCGCGATATTAAGCACAGCAAAGTTGTGCCACCAGACTGGATGCTAGTTTGTCTCAGCGAACGTCAGCCTGTATGGTGCCCCATAAGCGGGCATGTTAAATATCACACAAACACACATTGCCTGAGGGGGAAAACACTGTCTTTAACGCGCTATAAACAACACAAACAACAGTCGGCCTGTGGTGTTTATTCACTTCCGTGAAGATGGCCAGCTGGCAGAAAAGGCAAGACCATGTCGGTGCGTCGCTGCTCTGGTATCAATCTCTCATACGCCGGTCGAACGGACAGCGACGAGCTGCAGCTGGGCTATACTGCGCAACCACTTGGCCGTCTGCTCACCTTCACATGTGCGGGCATGTCATCGTAGCCTTCGTCGATGTGCCTGTAAGACTGCTTCGTCCCCTCGGGAACTATCCGATCGAGGGAGTCCTGCACAGGGGCGAAACGCAAATCTTCGACTGGCATCGAGCAGAGGCTGTTCCATTGGCAGCCACTGCGCAAATAAGCAGAGGACGGGACAAACAACCACTGGCCGTGTTCTTGCAGCGTCAGTACTCCCAGCGGCAACCAAGCAGCAACATTTCGACAAGCGAAGTCCCTGAAAAAATGGCTGAATTGGGGGCACTCCAGGATCGAAATCGCTGCATCTGTCTGCGGTAAGAATAGCGATGCGACAGGCTGACTCCCACCGACGCGATGTGACACTCGTGGGCTCTCCGCTCACAAAGCCGCTCTTTCTTGCAGACCATGGGCACAATCATCCCATCACTAAATTTACAAATTGCTGGGTTGGAAATGCGCAATGCGAACGGAGTCACTCTCTGATCCAGGCATAGCCCTAAAATTGCTGTGGTATCGACGCCATTCGCAGACTCAAATGGTGGTTCTGACATGCAGCAAAGCAGAGATATACTGTGAAAAGGATATAGCACTGAGCTCAAAGCAATCGACAAAACAAAGAGAGCCTTCCACACCTGTCCATGACCATATGTTGTCATCCATTGGATGTCAGAGTTCATCTCATCACAACACAAAATGCAGCAATTGTCCTTCCATTCACAGCCTGTCTGCTCAACTTGGATTGCCCACAGTAGTCGAATAAGGGTCCCAGGGTATTGCCTTTCGTGTTTCGACCAGTGTAAGCAAAGCATAATTCCAAGTTGCAGCAACCCTGTTGTGTGCCCTGTGAGGAGACAGTGGCAATATGACCCGAATTGTCCAATGAGGTGCCTATAGCCACCCAGCATACTTTGGTCGCAGTTGAGCTGTTGGCTTGGATCTTTCGCCCCGTTACCTGTCAGACCTGAAAAGTGTAGTTCAACATATTGCGATCCCCAATGGCAGCAGGGCAAAAAAGTCGCAACTACGTCTACAAGAATAGAGCACTCGTGAAAGGTAGTCATCAACCATCATCGCCTATAATACGTATGTGGTCGTATGGTACAACCAAGACTGTCCCGATTGATTTCCATCGTCTAAAATTAAAAGCCAGGTGCACAGGAACAGTGCAAGTGCTGCCCTGCATCATGAGCCTCACATTTAGATCCAGTGGGACATCAGGACTTGCGTTCTCGTTGATGGTGAGCGATGCGCTTGTGTGGCGTACTGAGGACACAAAAAGGGAGTCAAAAGCTGAAGGGCCAATATTTGGGCCAAAAATTTAAAGGAAAACCTATGTGCTGCGAGCACAACAGACACCGCAATATCCACAATATTGCACAAGACCACACACCTCTTTCACAAGTGGGCAATATTTGCTGCTTGCCTTCAGTATTTGTCAGAGGATGTGAACGGCTAAAGCAATAAGTGGAAACTGAATTCTCAAGTTCACAGTCGACTGGAGCTCAGTAGGTCTTGGCTGCTGGAAGTATAAATAAAGCTCTGTCAGCTTGCAAAGAACTTTGCAGAACAGATGACGAAGTGGATGATATCATCGTGCATTGGCATGCAGGCATCTGTGCAACATTATGTTGAGCAGTGGGAATGCAGTCGAAGAGAAACTTTAGACATGCTCTAAACATAAATGAACTGGAGTGTGAGTAAGACAAGGGATAACTGAAAGAGTACTTTTCAGATGGCATCGACACCGTGGCATCAAGAGGACCTTCTTACTAAACAAATTCGCCATGCCAATGTCGATGTCCTTCACTTCAGGAATCTGTTCCATAATCTTGTGCGTGATGACGTGGCATCCACGAGGGTACTCAGGGAGTCTGATCATTTTCTGGACCCTACGTGTGTGCCCAAAACATGACAGCAAGTTAATTTTCAGCCCAAACACCAACAGACTATTCAGTCCCAGTGTTGGCAATCAAACTGAACAGTATTGGTAAAGAGGTCAAGAACAATCTTCCATCAGTGCAGAAAGCATTGGCTGTGTTGTGCACTCTTCCGCACATCTCATGGAGCTCCAACGGCCCCATCAATCACTGAATGCACATCAATCTTCGCTGTGATACCTCTCCTTTCCTGCAGCTGCATACTTTCCTGTTGTGTCAAGAGACTGCCGGCAAACTGGCACTGCCTGACAATCTGAGCTCCGCAGACAAGTGCTGTGACGAGTGCATTCTTGGTTGTATTGCATGTAGGGATACATTCCTCCATTCATCTCCACATAGAAACTTATGTTCATTCATAACAGTGCGAACAAGAGCCCACGTAACAAAATGTTCCCAACAGGAATGCCTTTTGTGTAAGGTCTCAATGTCAGCAGACTATCCAGGCCAATGCCTGCGGCGGCCATGCATGTAGCTAGTTGATCGCACGACAATTGCATGATACAAGCAGGAAGAAGTATCTATGCCAGCAGGCACAGCGAATTCCACAGGTCATCGTAGCATCGTCCTACACAGAGGTGGGGCATTCTAGAGGGTCTGGCAGACCACATGCGCAGTCAGTGAATGAAAACATCAGGACAGTGAGTGTGCCTTTCTATGGATTTTGTTGCTGTGAACATGCGGTGAAACACATTTCCTTGTTGGCTTCCTTCCTGACTTTCCTCTTGGGAAATCTTCGCTATTTGAGGAGGAGGCATCCATCGCACATTATTTGTTCACCAACTGCACATCTCAACGCTGGACACGGCAGTGACAACTAATCTACATTATGGCACCTGTAAATCAGCGCCTCACAGCCATGCCTCAAACAAGATGAGAAACCAAAATGTCTGCTTTGTACCCACCAGGCACTTGTCAGCTGGGCTCCAACCTCCTTCATAGGACCTCCAACTGGCAAAGGTACAGAGCAGATCAGGCAGCCTCCAGAGCTGGGCCGAACCATGGCTTCATGCATGAGTATGGGCAAATTCCAGGTGGAAAATACTGGGCCTTCCACGTGGTGAAATTCCGTGTTCAGGGCACATTGAACATCAACTTGGACAGGACAGAGGCTGATCAGTCCTGAACCTCTGCGTCACCTTAGCAACCACAGAAGCCACTAGTCCAACACACTACAAATGCCACAATTGCAGACAGCCCAGCAGCGGACACAATCCCCCAAACGCCCCAACACCCATCCCAAATTTTTGTAGACTCACTGCAATTTCACAAATCATTGTACTGTGAATATAGCCAGACGGAAAGCCAGGCAACCAAACGCCAAACGGCGTCCCGGGACCCTTGCAGCAGCCGACGACAGACTTGGTTGGCCGTGCGGACGTACTATCCACATCAGCCACTCCCGACGTGATCCACAAACCCACCGACAAAGTGATTTCCAACCACAAAATGACGTCCCGGACTGCAGAGGTTGCCGTCCATCGGCGCCCCGACGAAAGCGAACACGGCCCAAAGAATTAATCTTCACCTGCCGACGGAGTGCCAGGGCCCATGCGCGACCATCCCGTCTGACTTTGCCCTACGAGTCCCCGACTGCGGACAGGCGCCACGCGGCAAGGTCCGCACAGTTCCCGCGTCTCCCTGGCCCTGTTCGAACACAGGGCGTCACCCGACAGCGTGCCCACTCGCGCACTGGTCAGCATCACGCCTCGTCCAACTCGCTGGAACGAGGGGATGGGTTGGCGCGCTTAAAAAACATACAAAACACACACTAGAAGTACCATTTTAACGCGCAAAAAGTAAGTACGATCTGTGTTTACGCCGCACATACCGAGCCTGCTTGCAACGTTGGCTGTTGCTCAGAAGTGGCCGAGAGTTGCGTCGCTGCTGCAGTGCGCAATAATGCATGGTATGCATGCGTGCAGCGTTGAGCCCTAGTACCATTCTAACGTACCCATGCGATCCAACAAGCACACAAACGGCAAATGAAACGGAATTTGCCATGCCAGGGAGGGAACTATTGTCCTTCTTACAAGAGAAACAGGCCTGCAGGCATTTCAGCTGCTGGAAACAGCTGTTTTTCTTCACTTAATGATGCACCGAGGCACCACATGCAGTTTGCACACCTGGAAGGCAATATATGCACAATGGTACACTTGCCTATTTGCTGACCACCAGGAATGGGGCAAGAACTTGTGGATTTTTAAAGCAAGCTCTGAACAGCACACCGCACTGAATAACAGATGTAATAACAGTGATTTGCCTCAAACATACTTAGACAGTGAGGGCTCATGACGGCTCATGAGTGAGTCATTCGTTGATGATCATCAACAAACGGTAACGTGATGCGAGGACTGTAGGGAGGTGCTCAAGGCGCATCCATGACATTAATTTATTGGGGCGTTATCGGTGATACGTACTGTGTGGCATATGCCGTAACTTGGGCCATTCCACAGACTGGGGTGCAGCACCACTGCCCAGGTATGGTATTGGGATGACACCAGAGTGATTTGCCACACTCAACATCAAACTGACGCCAGTGTCAGACCCCCACCCCATTTTGAAGGCTTGCTGATGAGGGCGTCCGAATGAAAAAACAATGGAAAGTGAGAACGCACTCGCCTTCAATATCAAGCATGCGTTTTCCCGTACGTTCGATGAGGTTGTCGTCTTCTGCGGGGCTATGTTCGGTCGTCAGAGAACTTGGACCTATGGCTGCGGTGTAAAGACCCCTGCTGTGCAGCGGTGTAGCATGGACAACCACCGTGGAACCCATACGCATATCCGATATGAAAACGTGAAGACATCGAAACATGGGCACTCGCATCTTTTACCTGCGGTAGCGCTTAGACACATAAGTGTGGTGGATGTGGTGCCACGAACGTAAGTAAACAGCTTGTCGGCAAGGCTCTCGAGTATGATTTGTTCACCCTGTCCACCCTTAACAGCGGTTTTAGCTGCTCATGGATTCGGTGTTTTCTGCAGGAGCGTTGTATTCAACGATTGTCGAAAAGTGCAGTTTGCATCCATGCATGCATCGCATTCCGAGTTTCAAAACAATACATTGTTTCGATACAATATACGCCATATAGTATTGTGCGGCTGTCGGGCTGTGAAACGTACGAATTGAACGGGAATCGGAACAGCTGCTGCTGCGCAAGGCGTCCCAACGACTGGAAAGTCTGCTGGATCAGTGGGCCCAAGCTTACGCCCCTGTGCTGGTGTCCATGCATGTGTGCGAGCGCGAAGCGACCAATGGGGCTGCCGCTGCGTCGCCAATCGATGAACTGGCAAGACGCCGCGCCGCGTGCGCGTGCCGCACAGGACCCTTTACCGCCTCGCCCTCTAGCTTCCAATCGCAAAATTGTAAACAATAAGTGAATACGCCCACGTCGCGTCATCCATCCAGCCCGCACGCCCCCGAGCCGGCCAGGGCACCGACGAGCACCGTCAGCCACTCGCGCCCCGACCGCCAGTCCCCAGGCCGCCCCCCCTCCCCCAACCGCTCTACTACACGACACACATTATATGGGAAGTCCTCGGGAAGCCCACACCTCCGGCGCCTCGCCCTCCGGCTCCCGCTCTGCTATTTCTGACCACGCTCCGCCATCGCCCACTTCGTACATCCGCATCCACTAACCCCGACACCTACCCCCTACTCCTATCCCCCCGCAGCTGTGGTCGTCTCGAACAGCCACTCGTCCGCCATTTGCGCCGGTCGTCAGCCGGCCGTCAGCTGTTCGTGTTGGATGTCTTGGACCGCCGCGGGCTGATCTCGCCCTCCCCCGTGCCCCCGTTCTCCTCCCCGCCGGCAGCCCCGTCCGTTTCGTCGGCACCCCCCTCCCCCTCCTTCTCTTCCTCCTCCTCCTCCTCCTCGTCGGCGCCCATGTCCCTCTGCTCTATCCTCCGCTTCCATCCCACCCGCGGCGCCGGCTCCGCGCCCGGGTAGTACGCCCGCTGCGCGAAGTGCTGATGGCGCACCACCAGGCTCTTCCACCGCTTGGGGGGGTCCAGGATCTTGACCATCTGCGTGGTGTTGGTCATGTGCAGCAGGTCGCCCCAGCAGATGCCCCACCCCATCAGCTCGCCGTCGCCGGTCTCCCGGAAGCCCAGGTGGCGCCACGTGGCGATCGTGCCCGCGTCGTCCGTGGAGCAGAGCAGGAGTTTTGACACGCCCACCACGCGCGCCACCTCCTCGATGGCCTCCAGCAGGCACCGACCGAATCCCCGCCCGCGGCGCGACTCCTTGGTCGCGAAGAACGGGATCTCAATGTAGCCGCGGCCGCAGCGGATGGTGGCGGCGCAGACGGCCTTGCCGTTGGTCAGCAGGCCGGGCAGCGGGTTCTTGGGTCCGCCCAGCTCCTCGCAGGGCTTGGGCTGCTCGGTCTCGTAGGCGCCTGGCGCCGGCCAGCCGGGCCTCAGGCGGGGCAGGAGGACGATCACGCGGAAGCCGGTGAAGTCCTGTCGGCGCGGCCGGGTGTCAGGACGCGTCGTCTGGGACAGGCAAACGGTGAGCGTACACTCGTTTGTATCCATGGCGACGCCGGGGTGCCGAGGGGGGCAGGCGTGCTGAGTCAGAGGCACGTTGGCCAGGGCCGCAGGAGCTTCGCGAATCGGAAAATGGGCCAAGAATGGGTGCCAAAAAAAAAGCTCTGCGGGATGGGTGCGGGCACCGTCGCGTGCGAGGAGGGGGCATGGCAGGCGCGCGGACTCGAGCGACGGCAGCGGAACAGGGGTCACGTCAATGTTGCGGCCCGCGTTGATGGCCGGCGCGGCGTGCCGCCCAGCCTTCGACCGGAAACGCGCAGCACGCGGCGGGCCTCCCGAGGGGCCCCAGGGGCTCGGTTCGAAACTCTGGGGCGGGTTGGAGCCCACGACAGCGCGCACCGGTGGGCGATCAACCTCCTTCGTGCGGGGCGGGCCGTGCCGGGTACGACCAGCGCGGGGCGCATTGCCCGAACAAGAAGAAAGGGGCGCGAACGGACTGCCCAGCGGCACAGTGTACAGCAGCCACTGCAACGGGAGGGAGCGGGCGGGAAGCGTGCGTTGAAGAGCAACAGACGCCATGTTCGCACTCTAAGTTTGCAAAAGCCGGGGGAGCACAGCCTCACTGTACTTTGGCTGTTTTCTAGCCGTGGTTTAGTTGCCAGTGCCCATGATTGCAGGGGATTCCACCACAAGGACAATTGAGAGGCGGCAAGCCCGCCATTGCCAAGGGCAGCAGGGCCACACGGGCGGGGGGCACAGGGGCGGGGAGGGGTGCCTTGCCTTGCGATGCCCGCTGTCAAACCCCCTTTTGGAACCAGCACAGGCGGTGTGGTGACCTCCCAACAGTGAAGGGCTGATGAATCCCGCATCGAGGAATCCACGAAAGTCACAGGATCCAGGCTGGGCTGCACAGGGAGCCGGGCCTTGGGGAGCCACAAGCACTCCCGCAGCCCCATCCCCAATCAACTACCCCACAAACACTCCTGCCACACAAACTGGGCACCAATCTGTTGCCATCCGCGTCACGGGCGCGCAGGAAAGCAGCGCCCGCGAGCCAGTCCCGCCTCCCCGCCCGTCCAGCCCGCCCAGCCCGGCCCCGGGGCCATGCGCCTGATCCTCACCAGGTTGTCCTCCCGCACCAGCGCCTGAGCCGTAACCGTCCAGTTGAGGTACTCATGGATGGTGGAGTCCCGCGGCGCCTCCAGCCCGCCGCGCTCCTTGGGCGGCGGCGCCTGGCCCACCTCGAAGGGCCTGAAGAGGAAGGGCAGGTCGTGGCGCGCCACCTCCGACCCCGCCTCCGCGTCCTGCTGCGAGTAGTCCCGCAGCTCGTACACGACGTGCGGCCGCCCCGGCAGCTCCAGCAGCATGAAGCACGGCAGCTCGTATAGTAGCGACCGCGCCTGCTGCAGCGCCAGGCGCCGCATCAACGTGAGCTTGGACGCCATCCGGGCGGCCGGGGGCCCCCCACCCCCGGCGGCGACGCTGATTGCCCCGTCCTGCCCGGGCCAGGCGACCGGCAGGGATGCCCGGAACCGGCGCAAGGGGGGGCGGGATCGCGGGCGTGGGCGCGGGAGGGGGCGGTGCGCAATGCGGCGGCAGCCCGGGGGGCCGCGATGCACTCGCTCCGCGTCGCTGGGCGGGGCGCCCGGGGCACGGCTGGCAGCGTCCAGCCCCCTGGGGCACTTTGTTTACAGAAACCGCCTTCGTGTTGCGCATGAGTCAATCTGGCCACGGAGGGGAGCCGGTTAAAAAACTCGCCGTGAGGTCCGCCGGGCGAAAAAAAGGAGCGGGATATGGGGGTGGGGGGGTGTGGGACGCTACGGCCGAGATGGAGAGCAGGAGAGGGCGGGCGGCACTGGCGGCCCTGACGCTGCTGGTCGCGGGCCTCGCAGGTGCGGCCAGGCGGCTGGCGGCCCGATCGGCGCCGGCGGCAGGACAGTTGCCGCGCGCTGGTGCGGCGATGACCGGCGCCTGTTGCCTTTGTGCTGCCCAGTGCGCGGCGGGAGGGGGGTTGCGGACGTCGGGGACGCTGGAGGAGGGCTTGGCGAAGGGGTGCGAAAGCTTGGACAGCTGTCGAATTGGGAAAGTGTGTGTGTGCTTGCGTGCGTGTGTGTGTGTGTGTGTCAGGGCGCAAATGCTGCCTGTGCGCGTCTGTGGGTGGGGTGTTGCGTGATTGAACATGCCCGGCCGAGTGGAGCGCTGCTGGATTCGGTGGGGCGGATTGGATGGAGCGATGGGTACGGCGTTGTAGAGCGGAGGCATGAGTGGTATTTGTGGCGCCTGCGCGAAGAGTGTGCAGCAAAGGGAAGGGAGGTCGGGTGTGGCGCAATCACAGAAAGTGATGTTGCAATCGACTTGGATTGGAATGTCGATGCTTGGCCTGCTTGCGTTACCGCTGCGCCGATTCTGAAATTTACTCGAGGTCCGAATGTCGGTGATGTGTTGTCCAGGACGAAGAAAGCAAACCTGGGCAGTTGAGGCTGCAGGACTTCCTGCACGAAGATACTCTGAGGTGGGTTTGGCAGCGCTGGTGCGTTTTAGTGAGTGTGGCAGCAAAAGCGCAGCGGGTCATGAATCGCATGTTCAGGTCAATGCAGCGGTGGGAAGGGCTCTCCAACAGGGCTTGCATTGGTCATCTGTCCAGAGGGACAGCTCCGGACAGCACAGGGAAAATTCGGATTGCACACTGGAAACATGGCTTGAAGTAGCCTGGGCTGACGACTGCTGTACCAACAACCAGTGCCTGATGCCACGAGTTATTTGGACCTGCCAATGGGAACCCTATTGATCCCTGTGCCTGAGTTGCGCATGCCTTGGCACCGCAGAGCTGGGACTGTTGTCATATTCAGGGCCCCTGCATTTCGGAGTTTGGCAGGGTGTTACGTGCAAGCATTGTTTGCAGCACTGTATTGCTGTTGTATTGGTTGCAGACACCACGAATTCATGAAGGCATGAACGCAGTGCGCTGTGTGGGTTGTGTTCGTTTCATGGCATGTGATCATGGACACTTCACAGCTGCACTGGTAATCATCGACGTCTGCACTGCTTGTGCCCAAGAAGCAGCACCTGTGATTGCGTTGTCCTGTTGTGGCAATAGGCAGCTCAAGACTCTTCTGCTTCAAGATGCAAATGCAGCCTTGGACGCATTTCATGGAATCGCCCTCTTCCTGCAAGCAACGATGACGGAAATTCCAGAGGTGATGTGGTTGTCTGTGGAAATCCGCTGACCTTTTGCTGCAAGGGTGGTCTGCATGAAAGAGTTGCATTTGGTGCATGTTGTGCACCTGCAGGTTTGCCTGCTTGTTGCCTTTCGATTCCATTGCCTCATGCCTGACACTGTTTCAGTGAGGGAGCTGCTGCAGGGCCCACCATCTGTGGTGCTCAGAAATGCACATCGCAAGCCTTTGTGTACACAGTGCTTAGCATATGGCGGAAGCTGCACAGCACAACTATACTGTGCTCAGCAAACCTCACGTGCTCACTGTGCTCATTGCCTCAAGCTCACGTGGACCTTGCCTGTTAACACACTGCATGGGAGGCTGAGGCTTGGATGCCACAGGCAGCCCAGTAACTCATGTGCAGTGCATATATGGCATTTACATCCTGCAGACTACCTGTTGTGTTGCGAATCACCTGTTTTCATTTATCAGAAATTGATTGAAACGCTGGCAACCTTGAATGTCGCAAGGGGCAGTGTTTCCACAGTTTCATTTTGACGTCGATTGTTTAAAGGTCCCTCTGCTAAAATGTCCTGAATACATTGGACCCGTGCACATTCCATTGCAGGATGCGACCTCGGACGACGACATTGATCCTTATGCAGATATTGAAGACGCCCATGGATTGGCCGTTGACTCAGAGGGGACACCAACAGAGACCACAGAGTCTTCTGTTCTGGAATATGCACCACTAGGTATGTCAATAAAGCCTAATTGAGTTCACAATCACAAAGTTATTGTGTGGCCAACGCTATCCACTTGAGTAAAAGGAACAAATAAACAAAAGGAGAGAAAATGAGGGAGTGTGTGTATGCATTCCTAAGTTGTCTGTTTGTCAATACCAGCATTGATGGAACCTGAGCAAGCTTGTGTAAGACGATGACTGTGTTCACTGTGGTGTGGCACTAAATACACTGTGGCGAACTGTGATGTATGTTGTGATTGGCATTGTGGCCTTTGTTCTTTACCGTACTCCACAGTGCTCTTGTGCAGTTGGTGCAAGGGTTGTGTTGTGGAAATAAGGAGAATGCACTGATTTGGATTGCATTTGTCGACAACGTCCCAAAGTGGGTGACCATTGCTCAGTCCAATTTATCAGTTGTATCTCATGTATTCAAGTGAAGAACTGTCGTCTCTGCAATGCTTCAGGGTATGCCACACTTACTGTGGCGAAGTGCAAAGAATTGCATCTGTAAACGCACATGGGAAACAAAACCCTTGTAATTTGGCACTGAGGGCCACAGAAGCATCTAGCAGGGTAGGTTCAATGTGCCATATTTGGAGTTCCAACTCACTGGTGGATTTGTGTTTGTCCTCTCTGATTGTTTTGTGCAATACTCTATACAGAACTTTGTGCAAGTACCTTGCAAAATGGCAGTGTTTAGGCTGCTGCGGCATGAAAATTGTGCTGACAGACTGTGGCATCTTTGCTCAGAATTGGCTCCTTCAGCCATTGCCAGCATGCTGGCTGTCCATTGCTACTTGCTTCTTTTCAACACTCACAGACTTCCGCAAGATCAACTGCAGTATGCTACAACATGCTTGCCTTGGGTGGAGATTTTGAGGCATTGTGTGTGCTGCTTCTGTCTGAGAGCAGCTGCATCAATGCTGCCATGGAACAGGGCCTGCCAACATTTTGACATGCTGTTTGTGCTTGGTGTCCAGGGGAGACAGAGGCAGAAGCTCTGTTCCTATTTGCAGCAATGTCAGACACAGGCCTGTTGAATGGAAGTGTTCCCCACAGCGACAACTTGACCATACATGCCTTGCTCGCTGCAGCCAAAGCAGGATCTCGGAATGCCAAATTGGCACTTGCTGACCGCTACTTCACGGTGGGCAATCGCATGTGCGGACTGCCACAGGATGTATTTCATTATTTCACCAGGCTTTGTTGCTTTCTCTGCTGCTCCCTGCAGCTTCCAAGCACATCACAAGGAATGTGGAGCAAGAACACACACAATGAGCGCATAGTAACCAACATGGAGTGGCAATAACACCTTGATTTGGTCGCAGTAACCTTGTCTTGTGCAAATATCCCCTGCCTTTTTCACACTCTGGCTAATGGCATTATTCACTATTGGTGCTGCCCCTTGGCCACCCTGATGGAGTATGCTGGCCGCTGCCACTGGGTTGTCTTGAGGGCCAGAATCTGCCCCATGGCAGTTGCATTGGGTAGTGGACAGAAAATTGCATTACTGCTCTGTTGGCATACTGGTCCTTGGACACCCAGAGATTTTCTCTCTATTGGGATGCTGTTTCATGGTTTGCTTTTTTCTCTCAAATAAATATCTTGGATAGTTGCATTGATGAGAGGGTCACTGAGCAAGAGACCCTCATTCGACTCATATGCTGTCTCGTGACTAAACGCTGCACTTGTACCTGCAAAGCAGTGATTGGCACTGTTCACCCCTGATATGGGTGCTTCTTGCTATATTGCTGAGAATTGTCTCTCACCACCGAACAGCTCTCAGTGGTGATGATTGGCACCAGAAGCACGCACAACAGACTAACATTTGGTGGCAGTTACACTTGCCCATGGACAGCGAGTGACCAAATGCCACAGGATCAGGGACTAAACCCTGGTTTGGCTCTTGATTTATGACTGGGCCCAACCCCAGCTGGGCAGCTGCACCTTGCGAAAATCCCTCCCATGCTAGCCAGGGCCCCCAGGTGGCCATAAGTCGTGTCCTGTGCTGTGCATTCATTTGTGCCTTTGTGCAAGTTGAGCGTAGAATATCCTCCTTTCGGCACTGTAGCGAATTTTGGATGTTCTTTTTCCTTTGCATTGCTGTACTCACTGCTCCCTTGTTGGTGACCCCAGGGCAGGGGAGTGGATTCGAGTTGTTCTAAGGGAATGCTTTATGCTATTGACGTTGCTGAAGACCTCATTAGGGAGACAGAGGAGGTAGGATATCTAGGCAGATCACACAGTCCTTGTTGTTCATCTCTGTGCTGTGTCTCTGTACGTTGTATTCATCTCTGCATTTTCTCCATCTCTGCATATCTTCTATCTTTCTATTTCTGGGGCAGGCGCCCCTCGAATGTGACTTCTTCACTCCTGTCCTGTCAGCCCTGCCAATGGCATATTGTGGTTTGGTTGGCATCCCCACCTATTGCTATTTTCGTATGTTCATGTTCAGGTACTTGGCCACAATGACCAGTGGATGAATCCCCATACATGGGTACCCATCCTTTGGGAATGTGAGTGCATAATGTATCGACTGTTTGATTTATATGGGAGGGCACCGCAGCAACAACTTTATGACTTGTGAGAATCGAGGACTGTCTTGAGTAAGAGGCAGCGCCAGGTTCAGTTGGGCTGTGGGGGTGTTGAATATGTTCTGAGTGGCTGCATTCCACACAGCAGTGCATGTTTGTGGCCATGGCACACGTTGCTGCCAGGTCACTTCTCAAGCCATCGATTTTTTACGATTTTTACGATTTTGTACGGTGGGCAAAGATCTCACAGAAGAAACGACCAAGCTGAAAAGGAATTAGGTCTCCAGTATGGGGGCAGGCAGGCAATAAGGCTGTTTATGCAGCAACATTGTACAAATGCCAATCCAGCTTTGTCAACTTCACAGTGTCGAAGTGTTTCAGTTCCTGAAGACATTCTTTTCATTGGCAGAAAGGCGAATATGACATCCCACTGGCGCCAATAGACTTGCGAATGGGGTGGATGGATGGCTCCTATGTGTCCACAGCTGACATAGAATCGGCACTGGAGCAAATGGCATATGAAGACGATGTGGAGCTGAGGTGAAGCGAAGTTGAGAGAGAATGTTCATGTGTGCATGGATCGCTGTCTTTGACCAGACTGCATGGGATACCAACCCCTCGAAAGTGTCATGTCTGTCATCCCTATTTGTGGTGTTGCCATATCTTACATAGACTATGCAAAATTTTCGAGAAATCATCTGCTTTGACAAACCCAGGTGCCCAAACCTCAAAGGGCTGCTCAGAAGCCGAAAAGAAATTTTTTTCATTGCGTTCTATCTCAGGAAAAGGCACATGTTTGGATGAAAAACGACGATCGCATGGCGATCGCTGATCCTGCCTTTCAGAGCTCGTTTTGATGATTCCTACCTCATTAGGATGACTACATTGACCTTCAGGCGAAGTCGGTTGCAAGTTCCTGAGTGGGCCAGCACGCTGGCTGGCAGTGACCTCCCTCATTATAGCAGATTCGGGCTATTTGGGGAACTCATGAACTTCGGCCAAGCTGTCATCGGGGTCTTGGGGAGTGGAAGCAGGGCCAGCTTTTGTTTGCTTTGAGTTTGGAACTTATTTTCGGACACCATCCTCTACACTGAGAACCATAAGTCTGAATGAATTTTCCCAACTACCTGAATAGATTTTAATGCAAAAATGGTGGTGTAAATAAATTCACAACCAACAATTTTTGTAGGACGAAGGAAGTAGTATGTCCAGTTGTAAGTTCAGATTCTCACACTATGCTGTTTGTGCCTGGCCAAAAATACAACACCACATGAGTTTTCTGCATTTCGTGATGCCACTCTGCCCCGTACTTAGTGGCTGACAATTCCCCTTCTGCACACTTTCACCCCGCGTTTGAATCATACTCCCCTGCAACCGCATTGGCCATGCGTCCTACACTTTCGATTCCTAGTGGGAGCACGTTTACCCACTGTTTTGTTGTTGGCTGTCTGTGAAGGGGAAACGCAAATGCCCGGCGATATCTCAGTTACAGGACTGTGGTAGGGATGCGACTTGATGACGACCCAACAGAAGCCTTGCGTGCCTTTAAAGTGCTGGCGAAGGAAGGGGATGAGCTGGCGGAATTCAACCTGGGTTTCATGTATTTCAGGGTGGGCGTGCACGGAGAGAGTTGGAGAAGTGTCTAGTAGATATGTTTAGCCGAATTGGTTGTTCTTGCATTCTGCATGGAGCAAAAAAAGTGTCAAGTATCATGTTGCAATGCTGCCTCGTGGATGCTTATGCAACATGACGCCTGTGGGTCGGATTGTCCAGCCTGTCGATTCCAGTCAAATGTAGATATGCACACGTATTGACACTATGTTTATCAATGATTGCCTAGATGAGATGTGGAAATGTGAGTTTAGGTGTAGTAGAATTTGACCGAGTGTGGCTGGAACCCATTTCATCGGCGTTGAAGCATAGGGCTGGCAGAAAAATTGCGTATGTTGGCCTGCAATAGAAGGATTTCGATATGATTGTCATTTTGCCATGCTGTGCTTGTTTTCGCCTTGTCCGACCCGCCTTTGGGCCAGCATCTGGTGGAGTGGGATAGGCCTGGTAGTGGAGGGGAGAGTAGTTAGTCTGATACTCTTTGGTGTACACACACAGGGAATTGCTGTTTCCGTAGACTACGGCAAAGCCTTTGAACACTGGGAGAGGGCTGCCGCTCAAGGCCATCTTGGCGCCTACTACCACCTTGGCCTCATGCGCTTGCATGGCTACGGCGTTGAGAAGGACTTCCAGGAGGCTAAGGCGTTCTTTGAGAAGTGTGCGAAGGGGGAATACCCTGATTGTGTGGCGGCACAGGCAGACATGCTAAGGACGGGGGAGTTCGGCGAACCCCAGAATTTGGACAAGGCGCTTCAGCTGTGAGTGATGCGGCTCGCCCAGTAAGAGGCTGAAGTTTTGGTCGGAAGCAACAAACAGCAATCGGATGCCTGCTACACATGTTGTACCTGCAATTGTCATCGACGTGGGTGGATCATACGCTTGCGCCAGCAAGGCGTGCAAGGGTGTGTCTGCGGGCGGTTAATATCGAAAATGCGGCTGCGTCTGTTGCGTCACCTGAGTGCGTGTCTCTCTTACGTAGCAATGCTTCCCTCGTATCAATGTTAATGTTAATTATCCGCTGTGTCTGTTTGTTGCTGAACAAAATTGTGTCTGCGCATTCTTTGTATATTCCATTCTTTAAATTGTATTTTTTTTATTTTTCTTTGTCATAATGTTATATCTTCTTGCAGAATAATACCTTTGTCTGTATCAGTTGCTGTTTCCAGCCTCGCGCTCTTAACAAGTTTCCCCGGGCCACTGCTCCTGCATGTGTGCCGTCCACCGCGCCCCTGTTCCCGTTGCGACCGCGCTGCCTCACTGCCCTGCGCGTTGGTGGCTGTGAAGCAGGTACTCCGACGCTGACGAGAACGGCCAGTGGCGGTCGTCGTACGACCTTGCAGTGATGCACTGGCGGGGGGAGGGCCTGCCGCCCAACTGCACGGCCGCAGCGGACCACATATCGCGCTTCATAGAGGGGCGCTACCACTTCGCCAGGCAGCTGGAGGCCGCCGAGCGGAGCCTTAAGGCCGGCAAGACCTGGGCTGCCCTCGTGCATTACGTGCTCCTGTCGGAGGAGGGCAGCGAGGCGGGGGCCGCCAACGCCGCGTTCATGCTGGAGAGGGGCTGGGGCCACTCCAGCACGGCCAGGTTCAATTTCGCGGTGGACCTGTACCTGAGGTCCTGGAAGTTGGGCAACCCACAGAGCATAGTGGCCGCGGGCAACCTGGTGTACTTTGCGGACGTTTTCGACCTCGAGGAGGCGGGGGAGGAGCAGCTGGCCATCGCGGCCGACCTGTACGAGCTGGGCGCAGGCATGGGCGACTTCGAGGCGTGCTACTGCCTGGCGTGGATGTACCAGCACGGCGAGGGCGTGGAGAAGAACCTGACGATGGCCGCCGAGCTGTACGGCAGGGCCATCGCCCTGTCGCCGTCAGAGGGCACCGCCGCGCCCTCGGCCGTCGCCCTGGCCGTCCTCCACCTCACGATGCTGTTTCCGGGGCTGGAATTCGCCTTGGGGGCATTGAGGACGTACCTGCGCGATCTGGTCCGACTAAAGCCGCATGTCGAGGCGCCCCAGATCGGCCCCACGTTTCTCACCGGCCCGCCGGGGGTCCTGGGCTACCTGGCCGCATGCTTGAGGTCGCTGTTGGGAGACGATGTTAAAATGGGCCCGGAGGGCGCGTACATGATGGCGCTGGCGGGCGTGTTCGCGTGGGTGTCGTGGGTGCGTTGGAGGCGGTATCACTGGCGGTGGAGGCGGATTCACGGCGACGAGGCCAGGGGGGGGCCGCCGCCCGCCGGGCGCCAGGGGGGCCCAAACGGGGAGAGAAGGAATGTGGGGCAGAACGCGGGGGAAGTTGGCTTGCGTCAGCGGAGATGACCGGGGGCGTCATGCGCAGGTTGGCCGGTGCCGAGCGGCTGGCGGTGGAGCTGGGCGGCTATGGTAGAGTATGCTCTCCTGCGGGCGCATTCAAAGGGACGGGTTGGAGTAACGTTGAGTGCCGAGAAAAGGGACGCCGAGGTGAGGGCGCGGGTGCATGCTGCTGTGAGAGCGGGATGCTGTGTCTGTCACGGGCGGAGGCTCGCTGTGGGTCGCGTTTGCCTCATTCGGAGTGCTTTCACAGCGTGACACGGTCGTGCATGGGCAGACGAGAATTGCGGCGGGCGGCAGTCCCCTTGTTCCCTCTTGGTGCGTGGAGGGCAGTCAGGGCTTAGTTGACATGTGTTACCAAAGCGCTGGCCCGCCAATTCAACGCCGAAGGATTTGCCGATTCGAGTGGCTGTGCGCTGCTGCCGCTGCATTGATGTTGGCTTCGAGTGCAGAGAGTGTGAGGCAAGGCGTGTGCGGCAGGCGCCAGAGGGACGGGAATGGGAGAAATGCAATATAATGCGATAGTGCAGTGGGAGGAGAAGGGATGAGCGGTGTAGCATTGTTTCATTGGGATGCGAGTCCTGTGCTAATAATAGGGGCGGTCGTCCCGGCGGTGAGTCTGCAATCCACGCCCGGTGCTCTACTCGTTTCTCCAATTTACCAGAGGTGAATGGGTGTGTGGGTGACGATGGTTGTCTGCGGTTGTTGGAAATGCCGCCGCAGCGATCTGGAACGAAGGCGGGCTGTACGGAGGGCGTCCACCACATCTGGTCGACAGCGGTCCGAGGTGCCTGCAAACCAGCGCGAACGAGGAACTGCACGAGCCGCTGCGCTGCTACTGCCTGTCACAAATCAAAAAAGTGAGTGGCTTGCCGGCAGCAGGTCGCCCCTAAAATAACCCCGACAGGCACAACAGACACTCCGGCATTGCGCCGCAAGTGAACTGAAGCAAGGAAGTGCCCATCACGATCCACATATTGTCCATGTGATTCTTTGAATATCATGCATGAGGCATGCGGCAGAACGACACTCTGGATATCCGCCGTGGCGCCATTCTGGCGCGAAGTGGACCGCGCTCTGACGAACGGCGCTGGGGGCGGAGTCTTGAGACACGACGACAGACACAATCAAAGGAACATTTCATCTCACGCACAGGCAAAGTGCGGAAGCCAGGAGCGACAGCGATGAACTCACCACGGCGAAGAAAGTCCCTGTATACAGACTACGTAGTCTGCATCCCGCTGTACGCGTATCTGCCAAAACATCGGCATTCTACAGCAGAGCGCGATGGGGAAACATGTGCAAGGGTCCATTTCTGCACTGCCTGTGCCTTCTTCCGCATGGCATTCGTCGTTTTCGTCGTTCAACAGTTGCTCGTCAATTTGAGAGCCAGACCCGTGCCTGACGTGCCACCAACGCGTAAACAGGAGTAAAATACCTAAATACAATACAGGCGTAAACACGCACCCATGTACACAGACCTTGTGCTTACTTTTTTACGAGTATAAACGCACACGTTAAAAGGTGGACGTAAAGACCAAGCCTGACTGCAAGATGATATTCCTCCAGGCAAACATGGAGCAACAGGGGCGAGAGAAAATCGACGAAGGGAAAATCGACTCCACAATAACCGGAGCACAATGCAGTAATTAGTTAAGCGTCCGTGCGTCGACGCACTAGTTCCTTCAAAGGAACGCTAGTTGTCGCCAACAGCGAGGAACTGATGCCCATTGCACATCCTAATGGCGCCCGCCATTCAAAATAGTGCCCATGGTCGGCCGCTCCTCTCCATAGATCTCTTTCCGGCGCGCACAACAGGGGACGACTTTATGTCACTCCCAAAGCCACCCAGCCTCTTGTCTATTCCTGTGAGCCTTGCACATTCGACGCCGACCGAATGAATGTTGAGCGGCACTGGTGTGGCAAAATGCCGATCAATATACTCCGAGGGACGACGCCGAAAAGTCGCATGCTGAATACTGCATACTGCACAGTGTGCGGTTTATCTTGGGTCTTCAGTCGCGGATCATAGAGATATGCGATGTACCACCTGAAGTTTCTATTGCTGCACATGAAGAATTGAGACTGTCATCCCAGGCGTTGTGTTGCTCACTCTCAACCATTGAGAATAGCTGTCAGCAGCAGTCACTGCTTCCTGCCACCCCCGTTTGTCTTTCCACAGGTGCAGCCCGCCGGCCCAGCGGGGCGGTGCCCTTGTTACCACTCTCCACAGCGACGCTTGCGCACAGCAGGCTCCGCTTTCCACAGCAAACTATGGAGATTGGGGCAGAAAATCCGATCGCTCTGTCGAAATGCGTGAGTGCTCCCTGCCCTACGGGACAGTCCTGGTGAACCGCACGCGTGGGCACGGGCACCGGCCTTGTAGCACTTGCATTCACGCCCCTCAAGGCCACAAGACAGAGTGCGCACCTTGCATCGGGCCAACGGCATGCACCGGAGGTGGGCACCCTAGCGAATACCGCCATTGGGGTTTCCACCCCTCACAACGCCCCTCACTGCAGGATATCCCTGCCTTGCGCAGATACCGCACGATTCCCCAACGAGGGGCACGGCCAATGAAACGGGGCACCGCCCCACCTCCGTACAGGTCCTTCCTCTGTCCTTCTCTGTCGCTTCCCTGCACTGGCATAGATCGGCATCTGCCAGTGCCCCACACCAGTCCTTCGCACCGTTTGAGCGTTGAACAGCACCTGGTTCCACTGACAACTTGGCAGAATGAGCACGCCATGAAACTTTGCTTTAGCCCCGTCGCTGGGCGTCCTTTCATTTTGGGATCCATGGCCTGCGCCGGCTCGCCAAACGAGCGACGCTGCTTTTGGTCCCAATCCGAACAAACCCTGCAGCTGGACATGTCCAGCGCTCGTGCAAGTCCGCGAGCCCCAAGGCGGCCGTAGCGGCTCCGCGTCAGCACACCCCACCCCTCCGCAGGGAGTCTCTTCGACAACGTCAGCGACACCGCCCAAGGCACCAGCCCGGCTAAACCGCGCCCAAGTGGTTTGGGGCGCGCCTTTCGTGTCCAGTGCCACAACCGCGCGGTCCCAGGCCACCGGCCCTCGGGGCCCCAAGTCACCAGATGCGAAGTCCCACACAAGTCCCGCGGGCACAGGACCGCTCTCCACATGGGCGTTCCACGGTCCCGCAACCCAGGCCTCGGTCACACCGATCGCCAATCCAGCGCCCACTCACGGATCCCGCCCAAAGGGAACGAGGCCCGGCGCTCTGCACCGCCACGTCAACATGCTGACTCGGTCCGCGCTGGCCCCGCCTCCTGGAGAATATATCGAGAGTATGTTACTCCCTCTGTCTTTTCCGTTAGGATCCCTTCTTCCGCTGACAAGGCCAACGCCGGTCAGTGGGTGAGTGGCTTATGGGTTTCGGGTGTCCGAAACAAGAAGCGATCTTCACGAACAAAACGGAGCGACTAATTGGCTGCCTTCCCCACTCCCCCCATCTCCAGGACGAACATCTCTGTCCAGTGGCGTCCAAGGCCTGGCCTGGCAACGGCACCGCGCGCGATGGTGGGCGAATGCGCCGGCCGGTGGCGACAGGCTGTCCGTCGCTCCGGCCCCCCTCCCGCGGGCGACGGCCTCCGGACCGCGCCAGCCGCGGCGCTTCCGCGGCGCCGGCGGCAGCCTCTGCCCCGTCGCGATGCGCGGCGCTGCGCACCGGTCAGTGCGGCGCCGACGGGCGCGCCCGCTCCCGATTCGGTCCACGACGCCGTGGTCGTTGGCGCGGGGCTCAGTGGACTGGCGTGCGCCCTGGCGCTGCACAGGTGCGTGGCGTGCGCGTCCGCCTGCGTCTCAGCGCGCGCGCCGGGGAGCATTTGCGTCGACGTGTGATTCGTGGAGCGAGCAGCGGGTGTTTGGACTGTCGTTTCCTGCAGAGCGACGTCGCGTCGATGGGCGATTCAGCGCGTTTTGGCGCAGGTTGAGATTGATGCATAATTGTGGATTTTCCTGGTGCAGGGGGCCCATTGCGCGATGCACGTTCGCCTTTCCGCATTGGCACAATGGAAGCGCGCGTGTTGTTAAACGCGATTTCCCATAAGAATACGGTTCGGGGACGCAGGGAGGAGCGCTCATTGCATTCCATTCCCTCGTTCGCACCCGCAAGCAATACCTTGTTGGACCGCAGTGGTCCACCACCCCCTCTCGGCGTGACGTCATTGCTTGGCCACTGGGCTTGGCCCTTGCGGGGCACTATGTCAGCCTCTTGACAACACGCCTCCCGTTCACAGGGCAGGCTTGGAGGTGTCCGTGTTGGAGGCGTCGGACGGGGTGGGCGGCAGGGTGCGCACCGACTCTGTGGACGGATTCCTGCTCGACCGCGGCTTCCAGATCTTCCTGACCGCCTATCCCGAGGCGCGCGCCACGCTGGACTATGAGGCCCTGGACCTGCGGCCCTTCTACTCGGGGGCGATGGTGTGGTGGAACGCAGCGTGGCACAGGGTGGCGGACCCATTCAGGCACCCCCTGGACGGCGTCCAGTCCCTGCTCAACCCAATCGGCACTGTGAGTTCCCTGCCGTAGTTGGAAGCGGGCCAACGAAATTTGGCCGCCTGAGGGTGCTTAAGTTGTTTTTTTTTCTCGCAATTTCCTTTGGTTCGAGGATTGTTTTCTTTTTTGATGGTTTTTGGGGTGAAAGGGGTAGTGCACCTACCATAGCGACAGAGGGGTAGTTGGATGCCATGCCATCTCAAATGCCTGGTAGGTGCAGCGGGAGTGCTTCATCACCTCTCTTGACGAATGTGGCAACTGAGTTCGCTGCATCACTTCCCAGCTTTCCTTGCATCCATTTTTGTATGCATCGATGGTGGAAAACACCAACAGTGACAACGACATGAAATGCTGTCCACCTCCCCCGCCCTCCTTGCCGCCAAAACATCTTATCTGACACCGTTTTACCTTCTCCAGAAGACACCATGGAATGCCTTCATCTGCTGTGTGCTTTGTTGTTTTGTTCTTACAGTACGATTGTAACAAGACAGAATGACGGCACATGAGCCCACATTTTCTCCACCTTCCAGGAAGGTGGAGGAAAAGTGGGATCGTGTGTTGTCATTCTGTCTTGTAACAATCGCACCGTACGAATGCAACAACAAAGCACACAGCTGATGGAGGCATTCCACAGTGTCTTTTGGAGAATGTAAAAGAGTGTTAGATTAGATTTTTTGGTGAGGGGAAAGGGGGGGGGGATGTAGGGTAGGGTAGGTAGGTAGCATTGCCCCTTTCACACCAAAAACCATTGTAAGATAGACCCCGAGAAATGTCAGCAATGCTCTAGACGTTGTTTAGATGCCCATTTGAATGTTGTCCATATCTGCTTGCCCATTTTGTTGGAAGGGTTTGGTACCGCTGGACTCACATCGACAGGGGAAATGGGGGTTGAAGATTATGCATTTGGGGGCGCGTTTGGCAGGTGATGATCTGCAGGCTGCAGTGTTCTTCAGTTTCACAAGCGGGCAGACACTTTCAAGAATCAGGAGTCGTGTTAGCCATGCAAAATTCAAGTGCAGTTGTCTTGTGGATTTTGAAGAGCAGCCATAGCATCTCATCAAAATAGAGTTGAAAATCGATTGTTGAATTTTTCTATCCGGGCATGGTTTGGATTCATATGGATGCAGGTGGCAGACAAGCTGCGAGTGGGATTGCTGAGACTAAAGCTATCAGGAATGGCCATTGGGGATATCTTGACAGGCCCTGAGACAAGCATCATGGAAGCACTAAAGGTAACGCACCCAAACATAAAGATAAATCATTGAGGCAAACGTCATGGAAGCACTGAAGCATTGGCAGCCTAGTTGTTGTCTTAAAATAAGATAGAAGAATAAACAACATCTGGTGCTTATCCAGCGGTGCCTTGCCCACTCTAAGCACAATTGTACAGTTGTGTTGAACACAGGAAACAAGTACTCCCAGGAGTTGGACACACCAGAGCACCACACACACAGGTGCACCACTAACCAAGCTATCAAGCAAGCCAATTTAGCAACTTGCCCCTCTGTACTGAGAATAAACATGGGCAGTGGGTGGGAGCGATAAAAGAGGTACAACTCGTATTTTTGCGAACCCATATCATCCAAACTTCTCCAGCAAAACTTAGCGCTACAGACCACATGTGACATTTTGGGAGCATGCTCAGTTTGACGCAAGGGTTTCAAACCAACCACCCCCCACTTGTGGGGTCGTTCCCTGACGTGATTTCGCATTACACAGACTCGATAAACATCACCTTCACTTATGCATGCCTTTCCAAAGGCCCATCAGCAATACAGTTCCCAAGGACAACTGGAGTTGAACACAACAAACATTCACCTCCACTTGAACTTGAACACAATTGAAGTATATTCAGTCCATTGCATTCCAGATGCCCAATTCCACATTTCAGACATAGGGTATCTTGCATCTCCAGCAGTGGCTCCCAGCGCAGTGCTTGCACCTCTTCATTTGTTTTCTTATCTCCTTAAACGGTGCTGGAAAGCAGCACCCAAAACACAGTCAAGAATCTTGACTCAAGATTACATGATTTTCCCTGGATTGCAGATGGATTGCATCAACTTGGGAAAAACAAGCAAAGTGCAGAATTGCAAACTGCTCAAGTTGTACTGCTGAGTGGGGTTGCCGCTGAACACCTGCAAACTCAGGAAATGGTGGGAAGTGTAGCAGGGAATTGTTGTGAGAAAAAGCCACACACTGAAACCTGCAGCTCCACCTGGTCATGGTACATGGTTTGACCCCATCCATGTAGGCAGAGAGTAGTGTGCTGTTGCTAGGAAGAGGGGTTCTCCGACTCGATTATTGGCAAATTCTTCAGGCCATTCCTGGGTGGCATCTTCTTTGACAACGAACTTGGGACGTCCTCACGGCTGTTCAACTTCGTCATGAAAATGTTGTCTTCTGGCAGCAACACCCTACCTGCTAGGGGCATAGGTGCCTTGTCTGATAACCTTGCTGGGCAGCTGCCGCCCGAGTGCATCAGAACAGGTGAGTGCGATGCGCATTGGGTGGAAGGACACCGATTTGCCAAATTTTGTGGCAAACCGATGAGGATTACTGTGCGTCTGATGGCTCCCTCGTTCTTTTGAGTGGTTGGCTTTCCCAAACCCAAAGCAGGCTGCTAGGAACGCAGAAACGTGAGCAAAAGACACAATGGAGCAATGCATCCTTGGATTGTGTGCTTCCACCTTCATCGTGGAATGGGAAAGCAGGGCAGAGACTGTATGCTCCATCAATCAAGCGCCTGTGTTCATCAGTCTATTCTCCCTGTCTGTAGGTTACTGTTTTGCACTCTGTGTCACATGCAATCAACTCGGATTTGTGCCTGCAGGCTCCCACGTGACAGCATGCTCAGGGGCAGCTGATGGTGCCCTTCCGAGTGTTCAGTTGTCATCTGGGGAAGTTGTCACTGCCAGGATGGGGGTGGTTGTTGCATCCGAAGGGCCTGTGGCTGGCAAGCTGCTGGGTGCTGTTCTTGATGCTTCACCATCAAAGGCGAGCCCGGGAGTCGGCACCTGCTGTTTGTACTTCAGGTATGCTCGCACAGCCTGGTTTTGAGCTGTGCTGAACGAAGCATACATCTGCATGCATACAATCATCAAATTGTGAGAAGCCCTCTTTTTACAGCGTTTTGGCTCGTTGGGCAGCAGTGCTGGAAGCACAGCATACATTGTGCCCTGCAAAAAGGATGATGTGTGCCTCTTCTCTTGTGGTGTGGTGGAGGGCAGAAATAATTAAGCGCAAAAGGCAGTGAGCATTACCAAGGGTAGCAAACAGGTTGCTTGTGTGATATCGACCTCAGCCAACAGCATTGTCTGTTTGGTGGGTGTATGTTCGCAATTTTGTATTGCATTTTGGAAGTATCAAGAAGCTTCACCAGTAACGATCACTGGAATGGATTTTGTAAATTTGAACATGTTTTCTGTCAATTAATACTGCTTCCCAAGGGTCCCCATATGCCTGTGCAGGTCAGCAAAGGGGGTTCTACAAGATCTCATCCTGTTGGCCTGGGTGCTGATGTTCGTTTGTGCTGGCAGTTGTGCCACTGGCAGAGCTCTGCATATATATTTGCTGTGAACTCACATTCCTCAGTTTATCAAAAACGGCAACCCAACAAATTGAGACATATGCTGGTGCAAAATTTGCAGAACAGAGCTCCGAAACTCAGCAGCAATGTGATTAATGTTTGCATCACTGCTATGGATATTTCTGTTATTGGGTGCTTCAATGATGGCAAAGAGTATGCGAATTGTTCTGCGATGTGCAGCCAAGGGGCCCAGTGGTTCTAATAAAGAAAATGTGCCGAGAACCCTTTATGACAGTGCAGCATGTGCTGAGAAATTGATATTTTGTATACTTATGCATACTTCATACGTGGGAAGTAGTAAGTATGGCTAGTGTAGGAAGTGTCACAGACCATCTCATACGTTGACAGGTGGTGCAATTGTTCATTGGCTGGGGTGCAGATGGGACTGAGACTGTATCTTGCTCTGCGTGGGCACACACACCTGGTGCGAATATCTTGGTGGACAGCGAGGAGTGCAGAATCACGACACTCTTGTTGCACCATACAGGAATGTGAAAACGTCATACTTGTCAAGGCACACATCGCTGTTTGGCTCAGATTGTCAAACAGTTTCAGTTCTTGGCGGTCTACAAGGATTTCAGATCAGAATTCAATTTACAATGAACAACCTGACCTGCACGTCATATTAACCTGCAAAAAAAATACATGCTTCAGAAATCGGTCGTAAGACACACTTGCGTGAGTGAACTGCAATTGGATGTTACTGCAGCAAAGGTGGGCAATACAATGCTCTGAAACGTGGCGTGTGCTGTTATAAAGCAGGGCTCCAAGTCCACCCCCCAACACAGAAAACATCTTGTACTTAAATGGCGAAGGCACTGGCTTGGTGAACAATTGCTGCTTCCCATCCACTGTCTCCCCTGAGTATGCCCCAAAAGGTGAGGTACGTTCAGGCACTATGGAGGAATGCTGCATGGCCTTCTGGTGTTGCTCTGCCACTTGCTTCCTGCAGCTCTCTGCTCTCTGCTGACTTTGCACCCAGCAGTGGAATGGGTAGTCACAGGATCATTGTAACTGTATCCTGAATAAGGTGGCTTGCTGGACATGGCCCATGCTATGCAACTGTGGGCTTGTGGACTTTCTGGGTGGGGCCCTTGGCATACACAAGTGGTGGGGACGTGGAAGAAGCTTCTGAACATCGCTGTGAACGATTCACAGATTTTCTCAGGTCTTGATAGTACAGACAATAACATTTGGTGGCAGTGTTGTATCTGCAAGTTGCAATGAAACAGCACATGTTGTTAATAACTGGTTATTTGCTGTGCTCGCCTGTATACTAGACCCTTGCTTCAGTTTCTGTGGTTGGGACGCAAGATGAACTGAAGGATGAAGAACTTGAAGCTGGCGTGCGGAGCCAACTGTCCACATGGTTTGGGCCCAAGTATGTCTCTACGTGGAAGCACATCAGGACCTACAGAATACCCTTTTGCCAGCCAAACCAGGTTTGAAGGCGATGATTGGTTGCCACATGTTTGCAGCCCTTCATGTTTGTTCACCTTGAGAGATCCATTCGATTGATATATTGAACAGGGTAGCTTGCAGGTCTTGATTAGGCATAAGCCTTGAATCATGGTGGAGCTGAGCATGTCCCTTCTGCAGAGGCTGTAGTGCAGTTTTCGCTTACTGCTATTGCATAACATGTGTGCAGAGCTTCTGGCAGGCGGCCTGTTGTTTTGTCCTGGTATACCTGACCTTGAAGCAAGGCATTTCCAATCTTTGTATGGTGTGGAAGAAAACCCACATCTTTTGTGGCACATCTGATCTGGTGCTCAGTGTGCATGTTCTTGTCACTGTTGTTCATGCTCACCAGCAGTACCTAGAGAGTTTTTTGGTCACATTGGCAACTGCACCAGTCAATGACCAGACAATGATCAGGCAACTTTTGGCAGAAGTCATTGTTTTGCATATCCTTTGTACTGGTTGTGCCAGTGTTGGCCAGTGTGTTGTCGTGTTGTCAAGGCTTCCCCTGATATTGGTTGCACACAACATGCTGTTACACAACAGTCTTCAGCCCTCTGTTATGTGGTTTGATGACCATCGGACAACAATCCATCCAGAAGAGTCAATCAAGATCCTCTTCAGTCCTCCCAAAGCTGTAGAGGCAATCAGCAATTGAGGCAGTGAGGTGGCAACTGACTGGTACTGCTTTAAACTCCCCCCTCCAGTGTTTGATGTACATTTTCGTGAAGCTGGGCACCAGCCACACTGTTTCCCACATGCAGCTGTGTTTGGCAACAAATACCCAATTTGATCATGGGCTGTTTCGCACTTCAAGTTGAATTCGTTATTGATGGAAAGGTATATTGCGATGCAATGCAGCAAATTCACAAACCACTATTCCTGTGCAGGCACCCCCAACAAACTTCTCTCGCCCAGTGAGTCTCGGCAGCGGACTGTATGTTTGCGGAGATCACAGAGACTCAGCCACATTCGATGGTGGGCAGACAGCACAGCTCCAACCGTTCACATCATCACAGTGCTTGACTGCTTGTCCATCAATGCACTGCAGTGGGGTGGTCTTTTAGCCTGCTGTGCGTTCAGCGAGACTTGCAGTCAACCAGTCATTCTTGGTCGTGCTTCCATCTACTGTGTGCTTTGACTGGTGTGCTTCCCTTGTCCTTGTAGGAGCACTGAAATCTGGGCGGAGGGCGGCAGAGGCTCTGCTTGCCTCCAAGTAAAGCCCGATGGGACATATATGGGACATAGGCTATGTTTGCCTTGCGGAGAGTGTGCGTGCCCCCTATGCATGGCAGCTGTGGAGCACAAATGCTCAAGAAGGTCATCACTGAGGAGCAGCCACACTTACACTGGAGATGCTCGACTGTGAGCATGTCCATGCCTGTTGCCTGGGTTGAGAGTCACAAGTCACGATTATCAGTATAAGCAAGTCCCAACGAGAAGCGTAGTTTGAATCTGCACAAGCCTGTCGCCACCATGTGGATGCCATGCAACTTGTGGCAGGACAGCTCAGTCGTCCAACCCCAGAGTCTTGATGTTTTCTCGGTGGTTGTTGCTGGATGTTGGGGATTGTCATTGTCTTGCCGATCGATTGCCAGACCATTGTCTTTCCCCTAGTGGTCCCATTTGGATTACGTATTTGCCCCCCCATAGGTCTGCAACACAGCCTACCAAGGTTTTGCACAGAAGCTGTATCTGATGCATGGCGATTGCAACACCTCCGGGTACTACTTTACAACATACCGGAACCATACAAGGCACAACTGCGATGCCCTTTACATTGATGCAAAAGCACCATGGCGCCCTGCGACCACTCCCAGTCTAGCTTCCCCTTATTGCAGCCCAACAGTACATTGCCATGCGAGTCCCCAACCCCTATTCGGGGTCGATTCGAGTCGCTTGGTTGTATGCAGGTGCAGACTCACACCATTTATCAGGTGCGTACCCTTCACATCATACCACTCGTTCTGTTTCAACCGAATTCGAACCTGTACCAAGCTGGTAATGTCAATCACTGTCATCTGCGCGAATTCTTGTCACCCTTCCCATAGCCAATTTCACGCTCACAGACAGCAGCAGCAGCTGCAGCAAATTGCAGTCGCCAGGTGCTGCAGTGCGCTGCAACGGTGGCAAAATTTCCAGGAAGAGGTCAATCCCCACAATTGAGCTCTGGCCAGCTCAGTACTCCAGCCCATCATGAGGAAATAACCAGGTCGCCCAGCTGCGACTCCATGGCCACACCGTCCATAGTGACCACCTCGCGACTGCCCTCCTCTTCTGGTGACGATGGGCCACCCTCTATCTGCTGCCCCAGGCCCAACATCTTGTATGCGCTGTGCAGCGTCTGCCCCGAGTGTGTGAAGATGTGGTCACATGGGCGGCGAGCCAGGCTGCCTGCACAGCGCTCGAAGCCCGTGGGGCCCACCACCCCTCCACACCGGCTGCACAGGATGCCATTCCACATCACCCAGCCTTCAGCCAGCAGCTGCCCGTGCTTAGTCTTGTACTGCAGCTTTTCGCCCAGGGTGAGCAGGTTGGCCTTCATGAGCACAGCAATGATCTGGGACGCCTTGGGCGCGCACGTCTTGGGGATGTCCGGGCTGCACACACCTGGTCGAGCCTTCCAGTGGGGCTCTGCTCGAGGGAACGCCCCACAGCGCTGCATGTGTGCCAAGTCTGCGAATGGAAAACTTCCCCCCAGCTTGCTGTGATCGGGCAGTACCCCTGCAATGCCATCGACCTTTTGATCGCTGGCTGCATCGGCACCCGGATCTGCGTCTGCAAGCGCCCCTGCCACATCCCGACCATCATCGCGATTCCAGAAGAAGCTCTGGAATGCATCGCAGCGAGGACTCCTCACCCTCGATGAACCCCTCAGCCACTGCCTCTTTGCAAACATCTCTCGCATGCAGCTGTAGTTGGGAGGGCGTGTGCCGGATGTAGCTGGGGGCCTTGACATGCCAAGCACGATCGATGCGTCACCAATCGCCGAAATGTGGGTGTCAAGGGCGCGTTTCTTGAGGGACGTTTTCACACAGCGAAAGAATGCATTCGGCGCTGGGCCCGTGCGTTTCCTGCGGCACACCTTGCCAGCCATGCTTGGCTGTGCTCGATCCTGCAACATAAAAACGACCGCTGCATCATGTATGGAACACATCTGGGGTGAACACCCAGTGCCAAAGCAATCAGGGTCTCCCATGGTGGGTGCTGCGTTTGAATGCGGAAACGGACCAGCAGACCAACTCATATACCTGCCACGCTCGATGGAAGCACTGCATTGATCTTGCGCAAGTGATTTGTCTCATCTGCCTGTACGCTGGTATCTTTCCAGAGAGATGCGCTGGCCAGGTGACGGTTGCTCTGCCACCATACAAGTCTCGTATTGTAGAAGATACTGAAGCAGGGTGGGCCGCTTGCGTGCATCTGCCTTTTCCTGCCAGTCACGTCGTTGCCCTTCTGCCAATCGCTGTTGCACAGGTTACAGCTAGTGCCAGTGCTTGGTCACGTGGTTTGTCCAATTTCACTAACATGATGCCCAGTGGCAGTATAGTCGTGCTGCTGCAACACCGTAACGGCGTAGAACGGTTCTACCAGAAGAATAGATGCATTGAAGGGCAGGGTAAAGGTTTACTCGTGCCTTGCAAGCACAAGCTTTGGTAAGCAAACACTGCTCCAGGCGTTGAATTCATGATGATCAACAGAATCCCATGCTGCACAAGTAAGCCGATGGAAGCTCACCAAATCCCAGCTGATCTTGCGCTGCCGGCGCTGCTCAGCGTCTCCTCTGCTCCGCTTAAAATCTTCGTACATTCTTGGCAAGTCTCGGATAGAGAATCTGGGACTTATACGCACGAAAACCATCCCAAGATTGCTCCTCTTTTTGCGGGGAATGTTATCGCGGCCACCAGGACAGGTATTCCTTCTTCTCATCTCTTCACGTTGCAGCCCGCCACAAACTTCGTTCTTGACTCCCTGACCTGCGGACAACACCGCTGGTGTCCCCAGTTTTCTCAAGTGCAGCTTCAGGCGTGCCCGGAAAGACAGTCGCGATTTCATTGGCGCCACACGGTGTTGGTGCAGTGGTGCTGAGCTGCGGGGTGGCATCAGCAAACCTTCGTCATCGAGGAAATCGCAACCAGAGCCTGCATGGCAACCATGGCCTACATTGAACGCATTGACAAGCACCACAAAAGGGCAGCATCTCATTGACGGCGCAAGACTGCATGGATCCATCGAGGCCAATCGATGGCAAATGTTGACGATTCGATGGTGCGGTGCACGGCCTGACTTTCTGTTGCACTAGCAAAAAAAGGGGCCAAATAACACTTTTGCGAACACACATAAAACACATTTCATCAAAGTTCTGCACGCTAAGAACACAAAAATAACACAAAACCGTAAACTTTGTACACGTTTGAACACGTGTTATTTGGCCCTTTTTTCCAAGTGTTGCTTCGCACAGAATGCGAGAGGCACCAGCTCATAGCCAGCGTTGTCGGCAACTGAAACTGCTCAGGACCTGATTGCCGCCGGCTTCCCAGGCCAGCCTGCGTCCCTGTCTCTTCCCTGCCCTCTGGCGTGCACGGTTCGTGTAGGTGTCCCAGTTGGTCATCGCTGTTCGAAGCCCTGATGCGAATGCCCAGCGGTGTGCAGCTTGAGTCCATTCCAGCCTCGGTCTTCTCCCTGCATCAATTTGCAGCCGTTCCGTCAGGTAGCCGCGCCCAGTATTTGCCCTCAGTTTCGCTGTAATGTGCTTCCGGAATGAGGAGGATAAAGGGCAGGGTTGGAAATAGAATTTGGATCGTATTCCGGCCATAAATAGTCGCCGCTTACAGTTTTTCAGATTTTCGCCGCATTCTTAAGTCGCTGGTTCTGCAAATGCACCAACTACTCCAGAAGTCCGTCGCTGCTAAAACTCAGAGGCACGAGTGATGAAAGTACGTGTGTGATCGGCACACGCTTGAGGATTTCCAGGCCACGCAGTCACCATTCAAGCAACACGTCAATTGTCGCGAGCACACACCCATCACGAGAGACACATCGACCCTTGACCGGCGCAGGCTGTGCCGACTTGTCCGCGACTGGCCGGCATCTCACTTTTCCACATTTCGAACAAATCAACACACACACGCACACACACACACACACGCACACATACACAACGAGAAATCCGCCGCCGCCCACTCACGCTGCCTTTTTCAACGGCTCGCTGCCTCTCCCCTCCAGCTTGGCTTCCTTGCACCTCCTCAGCCCGTCGCCCGTCTGCCATTGCAGCGTGCCATCCGGCGCATCCGTGCCGCTTATGCGGGGGCTAGCGACGTCCTGCCTGCGGGGTTCATCGCCTTCACAGCAGCCGGAATGACGTGATCGAAGTCAGCCACACCGACCCCTCGTGCGCACGCGCCCGGCGCAGTGGATGCGGTGCGACCCCAAAGGCCTTCGCGTCGCTCCCACACCACACGTGCCGCGGCCCGCGGACCGACGCTCTCCGCCATACTTCGCGCGTGTTGGGCGCAGTCGACTCAGAACTGCGCGGCGAAGCAGGCGGGCGGGCACGTTCCCATCCAGACCAAAGCGTCCGAGCAGCTGCAAGTGGCCCCATAGCCGCCGGGGAAATGGTGGAAAACGGAAGTGAGGTGGACCTTTTCGGTCGCGTCGGGAGCGTGTGGCGCAGTGCTCGGCGCCACATGGATTGGGCACGCCGGACACACCGGGTGCGCTTGCACTTGCTGGCGTTGAGCGAAGCTTAAGCGGCACTCAACCTTGGGCAAGCTTGCTTGTTTGCTCAGGGGCGCGGCGAGACGCACGCCGCCAGGCGCGACGGTGCTCCTTCCAGTTGCAGACGGTGAAAGAGACGATCTGAGGGCAGAAGAGCCGTGAGGTTCTAGCGTCGGGAGCAACCACGAGCAACCAGCCGAGTGATGGCTGCACGGCACCACATTCCCAGGGCGTTTCCGCGGCGATGCGAAAACGGGCGAGCACGCGGTTCGACGTCGAGCCTTGACCCGCAGCTCCGAAGGGGACGCCCCTTCCCGTTGCCGAGTCGCGGAATGCCCAGCCTCGAGTCGGAGGCTAGTGCCCCGGCGACGTCCGTGGCTCTCCACAAACGGTGCTGTCCGCGGCACTGCGCGAGTGTTTTTTCCATGCAGGCCCCACGTTACGCGACGGTTCGGCGTTCAGGCCCTGGGTAACGCCCGACAGGTGCGGCACCGCTGCCGGCCGCCTCTCCCAGAACGGCAAGGCCGTGAGGTGGCCATATCGCCGGCGCCGCCTATGAGGCAAGCGCTCCCGCTCGGGGCGCAAGAGGGCACGAAAGTACACACGGGCGTGTTTACTACACGACGCCCGGCGCCAGCATCGATCCAAGAAATGCCGTGAAATGCGTCCTCGGCGGCCCACGGAGTCAACACATCACGGGAAACTTCCCGGGAGTCGCCCCCGCCCGTCTGGCGGGCACTGGATGCCGCAGCGCCCTCCCGGCCTCGGCCTGCCACCAGCCGCCCACGACGGCCCCGGCCCACGGCACCCAATCACCCCCACCCCCACCCCCGGCCCCACCCGCCCGTCCACACACACACACCCTCCCAGCGGCTGCTATTCTGACGGTGCGCCAGCCCTGGGCGAAGTCGCCAGGGCGCACCCTCCCGCCACAGGCTTCGCCAAAATGCGCAGCCCTCGCGGGCACCGCGTGAACACGTGCGGCCCCCGGTGTCGCACGCACTGGCCCCCCGCCGCCACGCCCCACGGCTGCCCGAGCGGGATCCTCGGGCGAGCGCGCGGGCACCCGCCGGACGGTCACGGACAGCGGCGGCGGTCTGGGACCCGCCCGGCCGTCCCGGCCCGGTTCACCTTGCGGCGGGTTGTCCCGCGGAACGTCCCTGGCCGGGCCCCCCCTGCCTCCCTCCGGCCTCCGCCAGGCCGCGCCGCCGCCGCCCTCCACCAGGATTTGCTTCAGCCTGCATCATTCCACGCCCACGCTCCGTCAGGGCAAGCCGGGGCCCCCGGGGAGGCAATCCGGCCCCCCCCCGCGCCCACCCAGTGGCAAAGGGACCAACCGCGAGCGGCCCCCGCCCGCGCTCCCCTTTCCCCCCGCGCCGGGGCCACCTACTCGACCTCGCTCACGTCCTCGACGTCGCCATCCTCGTACACCACCTGTGGGCACCGCACGGCAGGACCGTCATGCGCCTCCCGGGGCTTCTCCAGTCACAGCACACACACCCATGCCCCACGGACCGCACCCTGTAGTAGCGCCGGTTGGCGACCCTGATCACGCCACGCACTTCGCCGGCGAACCACCCGTGGCTCGGGAAGTGCTTCCTCACGAGGCGCCCCACGGGGTCCATTGGCCGCCCCGGCCCGCCGGTCAGGCGGGCCCTGCTTCCCGGGCGCCCCGGGCGGTCAGGGCCAGACTGGGACCGCCAGGGTGGGGCGCGGGGCCGCGGGGGTTGTGGGGGAGTTGTGGGGCGCTGTGTTGTGGGTGATACGGTTGCGGCATTTGCGCGACGCGGCGCGCCGTGGCGGGGGATAGGGCCGGTGTGTTGCGGGATGAGGTGGCCTGGCGGCCCTTTTGGGGGCCTTTTGCTCACACGTGGGCAGTGTGGGGGTTGATTCAGACGCCCCGTGCCACTGCCCTAACCCACACATCGTGGGCGCCGCCCAGGGGTCACGGAAGCGTCCCCCCTCCTCCGACGGCCGGGGGCGGGTCCGGTTGTCGGCCTGGGGCGGCCGGTGCGCGAAAGGGGGGGCGCCACGGGATAGACGAGATGAGACCGGGGACTTGCCCGCGACCGGCCCCCCGCCCCCCCAGCGCGGCAGCAGGTGGAGCGGGGAATTGCGGGCTCGCCGCTGGAAAGCGGATGCCGCAGTGGCCGGTTGTTGTGCTGCCGGCGCTTGGAAATATCTCAGGCTCGAACGGGCGAGCTCGCCCCGCCCAGCGGCGCAGCGTGAGCCATGCTGCGGTGACGACCCTGGGCAACATCGCTGCCGCAAGTCCATCTGCCCCGGCGGGCGCAACGGACCGTTTCTCGCGGGAGCAGATCTCGCGACTCTGTTCCTTCGATGAGCCCAGGCGGAGCGCCGCCGAACGCCAACTGCCGAGGCTGCTCAGATCTTGCCGACGCGTGATCTCGACCGAGCCCAGGGCCGCGATTTGACGTCTAACGAACGGGGATGGCCCCTGCGGCGCACCAACACCCCCCCGCCCGAGCCTTCGCAATCGCCTCACGCAGGGCCCCGCGTTTTGGGCTCCTATCCACCGCGCTGCGCACCTCGTTCCGTACACGGATGATCTGCAGAAGCGGCGTGGCGCTTTGTGCGGTGCCACGCAGCCTTGAGATGGCAGGCGTCAACGCGACTGCCGTTCTTTCACGGCTGACCGCGGCACCCCTCGTCAAGGCCACTTTGGAGGGTTCCCGTCGGCTGCGGGGAGCAAGCGGCGGCGGACGTCCCACGCCCAGCTCGCCGGTGGACCGCCAACTCAACAACGGCCTTTCAGCGCCATCGCACAACCAAATTACCAACCAACCCGCGACGAAATAGGCGAATTCTCGGCCCGCAGGAACACAGCGTTTTCGCATCGGACCACAGATGGGCACGTGGGTCTTTACACCCGCTCCGGAGCCTGCGGATCCTGAAGCCACACCATCGCCGATCAGCGCATTTACTCTGCAGGACACTCGACTCGCTGATCGAGGAGAGCCGCGCGGAGGTGGGGGTCCTGTCCGCATTTCTCTCAACCTGTGCTGAAGGCTACGCGCCGTGCTTTATCCGGCTGCAGCGGCATGGACGGCTGCGGTTCACGCGCTTCATATTTTTGACACGGTGGCTTATTCGTCTGGACGAGTGGCTCTGGGCAGATCTGTTCAACGTGCCAGCCGCGACTAGCAGTCCTGTGGCGATGGACAAAAGATCAACACAGTCTTGGTTTTTGCGTTGACGTTGACGTTGACGTTTTTACGTTTACGTTTTCACACGTGAAAATGTAAATTTGCGAAAGGGGCTATCTTTACGGCTATTTTTACGTTGTGCGGCTCTTTGGGACACCGAGGCTACACGATGAAAGTCGCGTACAATGATCAGTCGTCCGCCATCCCCAGCGCCCGCAGCACAGTGCCCACCTCGCCCTCGGCAAGGGCAATGATTGCCTGGAACGAAAGTTCGTTTTCTACCCATTCCAGCGTCTGGCTGTCACTCGCCGGACTCCCTAAGCTAGATGTACTGTCCTTATGTACACGTGGCTTTATTTACGTATTTTTAACCACTTGTACGCGTGAAAACGTGCGTACGATTTGTGTTTACGGCGTAAAAAGCAAGCCTGGGTCAACATATGTGCGGTATTAAACATATGAAGTGTGCGGTCCAAACTCGAGCTGCACAAGAATGGCCACGGCAATTTCCTACTTGGTCCCGGATGCACTGTCCTGGGGCAAGGATTGGAAACTGTGTCCTATCCTGTGACAGACGTTCAACAGCATTAACATGACGCTGGTTGTTCAGAGGAAGGCGGCTGTCCATAGCTCGCAATGAAATTATTGATATATACCTAATCCAATTGGCTACGAGATTTCCGAACCAGTCCGCTTTAAAGTAGAGCTCTCATTGAAATAAAAGTGTTAGGGTTCCCTGTAAGTGTTTGGTTGTGTATATCCAGGAGGATGATTGAAATCAAAATAATTTCCACATGTCTGCGCACTTCCGCCCTTGCAAAAGTAAAGTTGCGTACCCGTCGACTCACGGAAATGTCGCTCTTTTCACAGATGCTTTACTCTTCTGGAACTGATGAGCGCTGGTACTTCATACCAACAAGTTATCTCGCTCATCATTTCATGTAACCGGGTGTGAGTAAGGGCGTATCTTTTAACAATTGCACAATTGCGCTCTGAATCTTCACATGTGAATCTTCGCATCTTCTCATGTACATGAACGTTCGTGTGAACAGTCATGTTAACAATCAGGGTCGGCGGGCATGGCAGTTGACATTCAGTAATAAAAACAGGCCAGATGACTCGGTCATGACACATTCTGCTCAAAGTCCAACCGTGTCGTTTCGGCAAATGTTGTCCCAAAATCACACGGCTAGTACACACATTGACAAACTTTCTACACAGTTTCAACTGTGTACCCACAGGTACCGTGTAGACCACACGGTTGTCGAGGGCATACAGTTGAAACCGTGTAGAATGTTGGCCAATGTGTGTACGAACCGTGTGATTTTGGGACCACATTTGCCGAAACGACACGGTTGGACTTTGAGCGGTCTGTGTCACGACCGTGTCATCTGGCCTGTTTTTTTACTAACGATTGCAGATAATTGGAAACGGTGGTCGCAAGCAATTTTATCCTACAATAGCATCTGATTTGGGTACGATTGCCGTGAAGCTTGTACACGAAGTTGCGGAGATATCTGCCCGTTGCTCTCATGTCTTGGAAATTTGGTTTTCCCCTACATTATCCACTGGGTAAGGGAAAGCACACAATTTCTGCAGCACGATACCAAGTATAATAATATTCCTCAACACTTATGAGTGGTGCACTAATTAGTGCACCATATATCCATCCAAATTAGGATGCATTGATGAATGATCTATCTATATAGCTGACGCAGCCAATGAAACCAATGGTGCTGCGCGTGGTACAAAGATAACTACAAAATGCACCCACCCCCACAACCCATGAAAACGCATTGCGATTGGCAATTTGCGAGGCTCTTTCCAATCTACAGGAAGAGAATGCACTGCAGGGATGGTGCGCAATGATCCGATTGTAACACAAATAACAAGGAGTATTCACATTAGGCCTTGTGTTGCAGCAGGTGACAAGAATTGGCTCGCAGATGAGGCTCCATGCAGATTGCGGAGCTGCCTGGTTCAACATTCGTTGCTTGGATTAACGTTAAAAGACGTCAAAATATTTCTTACTTGAATCCATGTGTCTATATTGAGATGCGTTTTCTGTATTTTGCTTCCACTACGTAGAGCAGCATGGAGCAGCACTGTATTTGCGACGCGCAATTCTGAAGTACTACAAGCACCACAATGAATTGGAACAGCGAGCACTGTCAACAATCCAGGAGGCCACGTTTATTGCATGCAAGCCGCACATCAGCACACGACCACAGGGCATATTCCCTGTTGGAGCTTGTGCAAGTGACAGAGACGTGGCACTTTCGAAAGGGCCTCTGAATTCAGAGTTCCAGCGCCATCTTTGTGCCAATAGTTGCAGCGCTGCAACTCCCCTCTCAGTTGATCAGATATTCATGAATATCGACAGGAGCAACATGAGTTCACGTAGTGGAGGGGTGTGTGGGAGCCAGCGCACGGCACACCCTTGCGTGCCCCAGTTGCGAGTTGCCCGCACGTTGACCTCGTGCAGAAGCAAGACACCAGCAAAAAAAGGACCAAATAACACTTTTTGGACCACATATATATGCATTTCGTCAGTGTTTTGCATGCTGAAAACACGGAAATAACCCAAATCCGTAAACTTTGTACACGTTTGAGCACGTGTCATTTGGGCCTCTTTTTCCTAGCGAGTGGCGCCCAGGTAGTGTGCACCCCAAGGAATTCCTTGCGAAGCTCCTGGAGACATCCGCTACCACTCCGCCGGCACGAAACTGTCAATTCCACACCAAATGGGCTGTGTTTGAACAGTGTTGAGTCGCCGAACATATTGCAATGGCAGTGTATCACGTGCCGTTTGAGAAAGAAACACAGCCATTGCTAAGTTTGCTGACAATGGGCTGCACGTTGTTTCTTCACTCTCCAGTACTTTCGGTGCAGGTGTGCGGAGTGTGGTGCGCGCATGAGTTCCCACACATCCGAGCTACCTTGCCGGGTCTGAGAGGAACAGGCGCAGGGCATGCTGGCGCCCGGCGGGGCTCCCATGATGTGGCGACGCGGTGGCCTGTCCACCTATCAGGGGAGCCGTCGCTGCCCCGGCGGATTTGACCGCGAGGCGGGGCGCATGACGTCGAGAGCAGAGTCAATTTCCGACAAGAGCCGCGCGCCACGGGCCACGAGGAGGCGTCGGGCGTTCTCCGACTGGTATGAAGTCCTCCTGAAATACAAGGTCAGCTTGCGCGAATAATGCGCAACCGCTAAGTACCGTCGAAGTGCGAGAACGGGGGTATGCGGTCTCGGGTGCGTCCTTGGTCTCGCCTCGGTGGTTGCGGTGGGCTTGTTGACCGTGATGCGCAATTTGATGCATCCCTGCGCACAGCGTCGCGAAGCGCGTCTGTAGCGTCACGCGCCGCTGCTTGAGAGCTATTGCGAGTCGCGAGGGGCTCTAGCGATCTGAAACGCCACTGGATTTGTCCTGGACACGCAAGCCTCAGCATCATCAGCGGGGAACAGGGTGCCGTTGGTCGCTGTGCGGGACTGTGGAGTGGGAGTTGGAAAGGCGACCGGGGGCGGCGGTGGCAGGCTTTGTTTTGGTTAACGGTGCTGTTTTCCTTGGCCTCAGGAGGAGCATGGTCACTGCAAAGTTCCACAGAACTATCCTGGAGGATTGGGGAAGTGGGTCTCCAGACAAAGAGTCAAGTGGAAGGTGGGAACAGCGACGTCTTGAATGTGGTGGGGTTCTCAGCGGAGGGGAAGGGGGCCACTTGGTGTCATGCAGCAGCAGCTGTGCGCCACCACTCCTGTTAATATCGTGCTTGAAAATTGGTAGCTTGAGTACAAGTTCAACCAGGGAACGGTACTATGCAGCGCTCTTTTGCACGCAACGGGTACAATGTCAGAGCACTATGTCCTGAGGCCCGTACGCACTATGACAAGAAGAGTGTTGCTCACAGGCATCACATACAGGCAAATAATATGTGCTTGGGTATGCCCTGTTGGAAACCACTGAGACCAGAAACGGAATGATATGGGAATGTCGAGATCGTCAGTGATTTTGTCTTCAGGCTCGACAGTTGGGAGCGCATGCCAAGCAAGAATGTTGTATCACACAATTGCAGCACATACATCACCATGGATGTGACGTAGGCAGAAAATGTAGCAAGCTCATTGGGCAGTCCACCAGTGGATAACTGCACATAAAGCAACCAATGTCTCACTGTGGATTTGTATCTGTCCTTGATTTGGGGATACTAGCCATTTTTGTCAAAGGTATGGAAAGACACAGCGTGGGTGCATTGGGGCCATTATGCCCGGGCTCGGCATCCCGCTTGTGTTGATTGCATTTGATAGTGACTCATGCAGAGCATAGTGGAACCTATGTTTTGCCCACCAACAAATATGAGGCTATCCACAAGCAAACCAAATGGCAGGGTTCATTGGTGCATGTGTTGCTTCATCAGCGCATAGACTGCAGCCAGTGCTGCAAGCTGCCACGGCAATTTTGCACCTTATCATTGGCAGACTCTGGCCTTTCAAGTGATGTTTTCTGCTGCTCTTGAGCAGCGGCAACAGCATGGCCTACTGCAGATCCATTGTCTTAATGTGCACAATTCCCTGGCCCTTTCATGCAAGAGGCTGTTCATTGATTGCACATATCAAAGTAGAGGAAATCTTTGCCTTGCAACAAGTGTGTGCTGTGAGTGAAATCAGCACAAACGGTGCACCAGTCAGCTTCTTTTGACTGCCAGACAACAGTGCTATCAGATCGTGAATGGCACCAGCAAGCATTCCTGGACCAACGACTGATGTGGCTAATGGTGCCCTTCATCATCACGGCAACGAATTTAACCATAGGATTTGCTGTCTGGTTCACTGACACGCAATCTGAATATCTTCATCAGTGTGGTGTGCTAGACGTGGAGGCCTACCACCAGCTGTGTGCTGTCGATTTCGTCTTTGATGCCGATGAGCACACTTGGACCCAACATTTCAAGGACCTCTGCGACTTCCACGACAGGCATGGTCACTGCGACGTGTCCCACAGCGACCAGGATGCAGCAGTGAAGTACCCTGGACTTGCCGACTGGGTTTCTCTGCAGAGACACACTCATAAGGTGGCTGCAGTCCATTGATTGCATTTTCAGGGACAATGCTCTGTGCTTGCAGCTATGCACCGATTATGGGGATAATTTCCATCTATCTGTTCACTTCCACTCGTGTCATTTCACCTCACGAGTAGATCATGCAGGCCTCAGTCTCATTCTCAAGATTAGTCTGTTTGTACCTCCTTTACAAGAGATATATTGGGTTATTGAGTAGAGGTGCTGATTGGCGTTGAAATACAGCAGTCAGAACGTAACAGGTCACTCTTACCCATTGTTTTATGCTAGAAGTGAAGAAAGGCAGGCTGGCAGGTTGGCCAGGTGTGGACAGTCCCCAACAGCCCCAGGGCACGTTCTGTGCCCTGGGCCCTGTCCAGTGTTGTGTCCTGTGCAAGGTGTGTGATATCTGTGTGCTACAGGCCTCTTCCAGTCGCCTCCATATCATTTCTTGCAATAATTGTCTGAAGCATTGCAAGCATGATTGCCCATTGCTGTTTGTGATGCAAACATTCTCTGTCACAGACTGTGGGTAACCATGTTACTGCAATTTCGGAACAGTGAAAAGCAACAACGGCAATCTGGACGACCTGGGCAGATCCTGAAACTGGGGCAAACCAGGAGGAAAGAAAAGAAAAACAAGCTGCCAAGCTGATGAGGGGCAGCCACATTGCTTCGTTACGCTACAAGGGCAGTTCCTACCTAGAATATCCTCCTTGCTGGTACCATACTTGGCCTGGATAATAATGGCGTGAATAGGTGCAGCATCAAGCCTGATGTTCTAGGGCATACTGGGAATTGGCACAGCCACCCAATGCAGCCCACAGCTGATGATTTGCCTGTGCCACAGTGTCTATTGAATACAGTATGGCTGAAAGGGTTGTGGCAAAACCGTAGGTCCCATATGTTTCTTCACAGAATCTTGCCCAGAGTTGGTTGGCTGGGCATCTGCCCTCTGCCATGACCAGGGAGTTCCTGTATAGCCATGTACCTACCCAGTCATGTGTTGTTGTCACAGATGAGTAAGCAATGAGTGCACTCATTCACGGCCATGGAGCATTGAAAATATTGACAGTCTCGATCGTGAAGAATGATGGCATTCTCGGCTGTGAGTTCCTTTGCCATGATTATGCTTGAGACTGACGTGTGTGCAGTGCACACTGTAGAGGGGCAGGCTCCCAGAAGATCGGCGCAGGAGGCTCTCAGGCTTGGGGTTCACTTGGCAGCAGCAGGAGTATCGATGGCAGCAACGCTTCAATGAACTTGTAGAGTTCCAGAAGGAACACGGGCACTGCAATGTGCCAAGGGACTGGCCAGAAAATCCACAACTGGGCGATTGGTGAGGCGTACAGCTTCTTGACACCTTTGGGCCACAGTGGGTACAAAAGCCACTCTTGCTAGTGCTGGGGAGTACTTTGTAGTAAACCCACCCCCAGAAAGGTTGTTCATAGCTATGACCATTGCAGCTGCAAATGCAAAGACTGCCTGCCTCTCTGCCCCTTCCCTACAAACCATTTCTCATAGCCAAAATTTACTACCATATAATACATCTGCTCTATTTGTTTGCTTGCTTTACATTATAGTTATACTTTGTTGATACTGTGTGAATGTACCTGTGGAGCACTGTTGCGATGTGTTCCTCCGATGAACAACTTAGATTTTGGTCAACAATGTCGTCTCAAGGCACCACATGCAGGGGACTGGTGGCTCTGGCACTTGCCAGCTTGCCGCAGCTTGTGAGTGCTGCAAGCTGACGAGCACCAGAACCACCAGTGGAAGGTCCTATGCAAGGGGTCACAAAGGCCAATAGTGCCAAATGCCTTGCTGAACATTGCAACACAAGCATTCCATCAACATGTATTAGTTTGTGCTGGGTTTAAAGCCCACCTGCAGAATCATGACAGATATTTGGCAGAGAGGCTAACACAATGATGGACATTTTGTGACTTGTTCTGCCAATGCGATTTTGTGTCAATGAGTTTGGGTTCGAAGTCACACTGACAAGCACTCCCAGCTTGCTTTGACAGAATTGTATTTGAAAGATTACCCAATAATCTTGGAGGCAATGACGTCGCAATCCATCGACCTTGACCATCGTTTGTGAGGTACCTTGCTGATTGTTGGTTTCATGATGTTCTTTTATTGTTTGATTACTGCAGAAGCATTGCCATTGAGCTTTTGCCTTACAAAGCTAAGTTGGGCATTGTTGGCTCTTCAATATGTCCAGAGAACAAGTTTTGCCAGGACCACAGTGTCACTACACAGTATCAGGAGGTATACATCCAAGGACCACAGCAGCATGGCGCATTGGTGTTCCAGGGTGACAGAAAAGGCAACAGGGCATTTTGTATTCATTTTCAGGGTGAACGCTGTGAGGAAGAAATATCAGGGCACTGGGAACAATGTAGCATCCATAACTGTCGCCCAGGAAGCTGCCTTGAAGGCCATCGGCTTTGACTTTGCCCCTTGGGAAAGGTGCTGGAATGACAATTATGCTCTTCTGCGGGAACTGGTGGCTGAACGGGGCAGTTTGGGCACCAGGTTGCCAAACAGGGGGAAATACAGTGGATTGAGGGACTGGGCCAATCGTCAGGTCTATCTGAACAGAACTGGTAAGGGACCGCTTGCCAAACTGCAGCCAAACACACAGTGGCACGGCATTGCCACACACTCACGTATGATTTCAATGGGCTTAGCATCAAATCAGCAATTGCATTGATTTCTGAATACTTGAAACATGTCCTGTGGACCATCAGCAGTGAGCTGTGCAAGAAAAAAGAAGAATGTGGAGGGATATGCTGCACTCCGTCAGCATTGTGCTGCAGGCGAATGCTACAACCAAATGTACCAGATGTCTTGCCGATTGTAAAAGTATGCATTGCCATTGATCTGCTTTGACAACGCTTTTTGCTCCATGCCATTTTTCGAGAAATTCTTTGCTGTGCAGCCTGGCCTACTTTTGTGGCAGTGGTCATGGAGCATTCATTTCATGCACTGCTGTTTGCTTGTGCGTTTTTATTTTCCATGGTCTGTTTGCTTGTTAACAGCACAACAATGCAAGGTGAGGCTAGTCCCCCCGTAGAGCCCCCTTTGGCTGACAACTATTCAATCCCTCTGCAATGCCGACAGCCTGCGCTATCATTGAGGTGGAGGCAGTTGGTCTACTGGTACCCTCAGCTCCTGACTTTCTTTGCGTGACCTTCTCTGCACAGGTCAGCTTTCACGTGAGCGTTGGCGCCGCCTGAATGTCGTTGGCTTTGTGTGGGATGTGAATGAGCTGGCTTGGAACAGTGGCCTGGAGGCCCTGGGGGAGCTTGTGCAAGAGCGGGGACCCCAGACGGCCTACCTCTTTCTGGAGCTCTTGGATGGCGCCCTGCTGCTGAAGGAAGCCAAATCAGGGAGGCGAAACACAATGGGTGGAAGCACAGTCACCAAGGGAAAGACTGATTTGAGGGACTTGGTGGCATGGTTCCGTAACACGCGCAGGGCAGCATTGGCTGGCGAGTTGAGCGACAGAAGAATAGAACAGCTGGCAACCCTGGGGTTCTTGTGGAATGTGCAGGGCGATGATGGAGGGACTGGAAGCCGTTCACAAATGCTTGAAGACATGCACAAGCAGGGCGCTGAACTTCAGTAATATGGCCAAGGGACATACACCCATAGTGTACAGATACATATTATGGAGGCAGTGCTCGCTTATTTGGCAAGATGCAGGTAGAATATGTCGCAACTGTGAAAGGGTGCAGCATGGGGAGCAGTAACACTTGATCAGAAACTCCTCTGGTCCCACAATGGACAGCAACTTGTGGAGGATGCTGGGGAGCAAGAAGGTGTGTATTGTAATTTCCGGTTGTACATGCCAGTGTTTTCACATATCGTGAATGGTGCTCCCAGATGCTCATGATCTGGAAGCATCATGGCTTCCATCTGCCTGTACGCTTGTGTGGTGAGCTGCTTGGAAAGTTCCTTGTTGTTTGAAGCCAGAGTCAGGGTCAGGCCAGGGTCAGGATTTCGATGCAAATGGGTGCTGTGTGTGCCATGGGCTCAGAAGATGATTCCATTGCTCCATCCTGTGCACAAGATTACTGCAATCCAGAAACACAAATTATCTACAAAATGTGGTCCACTGTCCACTGCCCATGGAAGATGTCTTCCAATAAAGACATCATCCACCCAGCAGACGAAGCGCCACCACTCTGTGCCAGCATTCAGTCCCTTGCTTTCATTGCAAGTTGTGGGTGCCTGGTATGTGGAGCCAGGGATTCAAGAGCCTGGTCCCTTACTCCCATGAGCATCCAGGTGAATGGCTGATCATCTCCCCCCCCCCTTTTCGTAACCAGCCACGTGTTCAGTGCTGCAATGCATTGCAGAATGATAGTATTGACTACTTATTCTCATTGTTTTCTGAAGCGCGGTGGCTACCTTACTGCTTGAAATAACAGGTGGCTTAGCCTGGCATTTGCTGGAATCACAGGTTGTTCAAATATAAATCAAGGACTGCACATCTTGCAGAGCTTTTGGAAATCTTGTACCTGTGAAATGCCAGATTCTTGTTCACATGAACTGCATATGTTGCCCACATGCTCATGGTTCTTGGGACGCAGTCTGTTGTGCATGGGTTGCAGTGTGTCACGCCTCCAGATGGCATGAAGGTGCGATGACCATGGATCAAAGCAGCATGTTGTCTGCAAGTTGTTTTGTGAGTTGTGGGTGGCTGTATGACCTGCCATTCCGCATCCGTCTGCCTGTCTGGAGCTGGGCCCTGGGTTGTTCGTCAAGCCGAGACTGTCTGGGAAGGTACGCCAGAGCACAAAAATGCACAACGTTGGGCTGCCATTTGATGTGCTCGACCCACGTTGGCCTGCAAGAATCCCTGCCTTGACGTTTGTGCGTCTGTCTTTCTTATCTCGGCTGTTTTCGCGCCTTTCCTCGCATAGTCGCGAAGTGGCGAAGCTCCACATCCCTCCACTGGGACGGGTCCCCGGCGCTCAGTGCGACGGAAATTCCGGAAGAAAATACCTGAAGTCGAGCCCCGCCTCACATCTGACTCGTCTTGTCCAATCGACCAAAATGCAGGGGCACTGTCAGCTTATCGTACGTTGGGGTGCACACTGCTGGACACAGGGCTCACTGTGTCTTTCAGATTCGTTGTGTGACATCTTGCTTTTGCGGACATCGACCTCAACGTACATTTGGTCCCTTTCGTGTGACTTCGGACGCGACTGCGTGCCGCGCCAACATCGTCTGCACTCTCATTCCCGTCCCATGTCCTCCTTTCCAATCGAGTTTCATCGACTCGCCGTCCGTCCTGCGGAGCTACAGCAAAGGCTCATTAGTAGTTGCCCATCGCGCACCAGTGCCGCAACCCAGCGGCCCCCCACAGCCCGTGCCGTCCGATAACTTCACCCTTTCACGGCAAAATGACACCAACACGATGGACCGTCGCAGATCGCGCACGCTTGCTGTTGGCAGCACGATCCCAATCACGACCCGCACCGCCTGAAGTGTTGGCATCTCCGCCGGTCCAGCCTTCCGCTGGCATCCTACACTCACACTTGTGTCCCACCGCAGCCATCACCCTTTTCTTCCCTTAAGCTCTGTTTTCCGGACGGACTTCCCTCGTATTCACATCCCTCCGCAAATGCGCCTCGCGACAATCTCCCCTTTAAATGTGCGCCATTTTCCGACATCAGAAGCGGGCCGCGTGCCGGCGGAAGATGCCGGGCAGGTGGGCCTGCGACGCAATCCAGGGTGCGAGTTGATGGGACCCCCGTGGCGCCTTCTCGACGAGGGGCGCCGCAGTGCCGGGGCCTCAAGAGCATTTGCAGAAAGAGTTGTTGGTCACACCCGGTCGTGCCCAGAAACAGACCCAGACCCAAGCCCCACAACACGCGCCCTCCCACGCCGCCAACGCGGTGCCAGAGCGGCGCACGGAAGGCGGTCCCCGCCCTCACCCCAGTGCGACTGAGGCGCAGGCGAGGGGAGGCGACCGGGGGGGATCTCGAACGCCGAAGTACTGCACGGCAGGGATGGCGCCCGGCGGGGCCCGGGCCGCCACCCGTTGCCTGCTGGCCGCGATCGCGCTGCTGGCGCTGGCGGCACCGGCCACCCGCGCCGACGGAGGTGCGCCGCCAACCCCTGGGGCGGGGGGCGGGGAGATGTGGACGCGGGCCGCCCGGAACCGTGACTTCGCACCTGCGTTCCGTTTGCGTACTTCGGTCTTCAGTGGGGATGCGCACCGGGGGGAGGCGCCCCACCCCCACCGTTAGGGCCCCTCTTGGCGCGGAGGCGCCCGGAGGCCCCTCGGCGGCGTCTGGAACCGCGTCCGGCCCTAGTGGGTGGCTTCAGCCTGACCCCCCACTGCGACTCCTGGCTCTAATAGTACATGGGCCTAATCTTCCCGCAACGCGACGTGCGCAGGGCTGCGTGCGACGATTGCCCCGCATTGGGCGCCTGACGCCACCCGCGGCTGACTGAGAGGGTCGATGGGGGTTTCTTTCAAGCCTGTCAGCCGCAGCCCTTGCCACGCAGCCGCGGCAAAACCCTGGCCGGCGGGATTGGCTTGACTCGATTCACGGGGCCCAATGTGTGAGACCGATGTGGTGGGGACGAATCCGGTACCGAGGTCCCTCGAATCCGGGCGGGTCGCTGCCCGACGGCGTCAAGACAGGCGCCTGCAGCGTCCCCGCGGTCGGCGGAATTGATGGCATGTCATATCAGGCAGGGCGGACGCCCAGTCCTGACGCCAATCTGAACGGGGCTGCTGTGACATGGAGCCTGTTCGCCATTGCGAGTCATGCCGACCGGCACGTCGGCTGTGGGAACCGGCGAACTAATGGTCCCAGAACCCGCCTCGTGCCGCGTGGCACCACGACGTGACATTCGCGGGGCACCGATTGTGATGGTTGGCGCCGTGCGCAGGGAGGCATCTGCTGCAACAGAACGCCAGCACCATAGTGCTGACGGCAGAGAACGTGACCCAAATTGCAGACGAGATCGCCGGCCTCGGCGACGGCTCCGTGGTGGTCCTCGACCTGGAGAACGCCACCCTTGAGGGGCCCCTGCAAATTGGCGCGGCGCTGACCATCAGGGGCGCGTCGGCGGGCTCGGCGCCGGTGATAAACTGCGCGCCGAGGGGCAGGAGGGGCCGCTTCGAAACAGCCCTCGAAGTGTCGTAAGTGTGGTCCGGCTGAGCGTTTCTGTCCAGTTTATGTCGGTCTGGAAAGACTGTGAGGCCTGCCCGTCTGTTTTTCTAAGAGCTGTTTAGCGCCACTTCTGCTAATGATTCCGAGCTGCTTGGGCTGTGTGTCGAAAAAGGCACTGTTGTGCAGGTTAATTATGCATGGTTGAAGTAAGTGATTCCCTTCGCTTCAAACCCCGTCCCTGACCCTTGGTGTGGGCAAAATGCCATGCCTTGCTCTAGAATAGGAGAAAAAGGAGCCAAAGCAGCCTCACTCCCAGTGGCCCCAAAATGCCTTCCTGCGGGGGCGCCCAAGCTGTCCAGGCCTCCAACACTAATATCCATTGAAGCATTCCCAGTTTTAAGTGACTGTGTCAGGAGTGCCTCCAGCCCCAGCGAGTGCTTGGTCTCTCTGCTACGCCTAATCCAGGTCGTTGCTGCCAACACATTCAACCAGTTACCACATTTATGTGTGCCAGTGCGGAATGTCAAAGGTGGCAGCAGTAAGAAACCCTGCAGTTTGTCCCCATCAAAGCGCTGGTGTATTGTTGGTGCTCCCACACAGTAATAGACAATTGCTTGTGGTCAGTTCCATTTGGAGGAGCAGTCAGCCTTGAGACCAGCACATGCGAAGATCTGCAGGATGCCCATGCAGTTCCATATATCCCACAGGTTGGGGGCTTAGGGGAAACCGCATGACAGGGGAAGGCGTCACGTGCTGAAATATGACCAAGCATACAGGTCCGCAAACCCTAACATGCACAGATGTCAATATTGGCCCTCTTTTCCATCTTTTCTTGGTCATTCTGTCTTTTGACTGTGGGTGAGAAGTGCTGACCCTGCTGTGGTTTTGGGATTTCGGACTGTGGACATTCTGGATGTTTGCCAGAGACATGTTGGATAGATGCATGTTGTTGTTCAGTGCTCAACATCCGTGTGCCTTGCTGAGCAGCCACTGGTCACATCCAGTTGCTCCTGCTTTGTACACACTGCCTGCAGGAATGTTGTCCTGTGTTTAGCTGTGCACGACTAGCTATCACTGCACTGGTGTTTGCTGAATGGCCTTGAATTTACTGAGCAGAAGCCAGTGCCAAGAATTGGTCCCCTTCATCGTCTTCTACAGCTGTTCTTTCGCCAATGTTTCACACTATATTTCGGAGTACATGTGCATATACTATGAGATGCAGTCTTTGAGGCATCCCTGCACCCCATACATCATTGCCATGGCTTGCTGTTTCTGCAGGGCTAACATCACTCTGGAGGACCTTGTGATAAGGCAGTGCGGCAATCCTGCAGTGTCGCTGACACCGGATGTGGGGGCTGTCCTGTCAGCAACATTTAGAAGGGTGTTGTTTGAGGACACTGTTTACTTCGGCAGGAGCGCTCGCATCGGAAGTGATATCCTGTCAGGGGGTGCTATAGGAGCTGTGAGCGGTTTTGACATCCTGGTGGAAGAGTGCATTTTCAGGAACAACACCGGGTCAAGTGGTGGAGCAATCGCAGCTTTTGGATCGAATGTGACAATAATCAATTCGTCTTTTGTGGGAAACAAGCTGGACAACAGCCAGGAAGTGGGGTTTGGTGGTGCAGTGAGCATTAGAAGCTCGTCGACATTTCCTGGAGGGTTCTTGACTGTGGAGGGTTGCAATTTCACGGAAAACATTGATCCGGTCGGTGGTAGCCAGGATGAACTGCAAGCCACTAGCGGGGGTTTCCCTCTTGAGGGCACGCAGTTTGTGAACTTTGTTCGGCCCCGGTTCGCAGGAGGTGCACTGATTGTCGAGAGACTAACTGATGTTAGAGTCAGTGGTTCTAATTTTGAGAGGAACATTGCCAACCATGCTGGAGGTGCCATATACGTTTCAGACGTTGAGACCACTGAGGTTAGTGACTGCAGCTTCACTGACAACGAGGCTCGCACTGAAGATGGGTTGCAGACTAGAGAAGCGCAAGGTGGCGCCCTATACATTGAGCTGACACCGCAAGGCTTCAAGTTTAACATCAAAGACTGTAACTTCACAAACAACTCTGCTGGTTACGGTGGTGCTATCCACTACGTCGGGCAGACAGCTGCAGTGTTGGATGTCATGGATGTGATCTTTGAAGGGAACCGTGCAACAATTGGGGGCGGTGCGATGCTGTTGCGCAATTCCCAAGACACAAAATTTTTGAGGACCCAGTTCCGAAACAATGTGGGTGCCACTGGGGGTGCTATGATGCTGGCAAATGCAGCTGGGATGACTTTGACAGGTTCCTGTGGACGCTCTGACTCGGAGTTCACAGGAAACGTGGCTGTCACAGGTGGTGGCGTCGCTGCTCGTGGAGGAGGTGCGTGCAGTAGATGCAATGGAGGTGTTGTGGTTTGCAATCCCTGGTGGAGCTTTATGTTTGTGTGGTGGTTTGCATGACTGGGCGCCCTTCCCAGTGCTGCAGAGTTCACAAATGAGAGTTGCAATGGTTACTTGGTTCTGTGTGTTTTGTGAAAGAGTAATGAACATGTGATGGGGTGCCAGCATCCACCAAATCAAGAGAAATTAGCATTCGGCTGCTCAGTCGTTCAGCCAAGTAAAGTGACCAGCGATGTGGGTTGATTGGCATGCACGTCGACTTTCAGTTGCTCAGGCGTGTTGCTCTTCTTGTCTGTCAGAAGCACTGGTTTATGCGTGGAATGTCTCTGTATCAGGTGTGATGATGATTGATGACAACGTTCTCTTTGAAAATAATCATGCCCTTGAGTCTGGTGGCGCCATTGCAGTCATTGACGGAACCATCACCACCGGAATGGACTATCGAAATCCGATTGTGGTGAACAACAGTGCCACCAGGTACACCAGCGCCCTGCCAGTCAGTCTCTGTGTTGTGCATGCTGCTCAAATGCCCCCAACTTGTGTTTCAGGCGTGCTCTAGCCAATTTTTTCATTGATTTCTCAGGGAAGAATCCTTGCAAGTGTCCTTTGGTGTAAAATTGAAATGTGACAGGTCGGATAGAGGTCAGCTCGGTACACTTAACTTCCTTGTTCTGTCAGCATCTTGCTTATTATCATTGGTAGCTTTCCCCAGTTGGTATGTCCATTGTGCAGTGCACCAGGAGTATATTGTTGCAGCGCCTGAACAAGAGAGCTTGTGGGGGGACATGCATGTACTGAACATATATGACTGCTGCCTCATCTGCTCTTCCTTGATTTTTCCCCTCCAATGCCTTGGCGTGCAGCTACGCCTATTGCCGTTGTGCGCAGTACAACAAATTGAAGCAGTTCACTGCCCTTGCAATGCAAGCAAGCATTGTCAGCCATTCTTTTGGTACCAGCAGCAGGGGACACTGTGGACACTGAAACAAATGTTTGCTTTTAATAGCTCAAAATTGGCTGTGCCTGTGGGCCAGAGGTCTTCTTTGCTTCCATTTTTTCTTTGTTTATTATAGCACACAGCAAGTGCATATGCACATGATTGCCAGAATCGCCTGCTGTCTAAGAAGATCATGTCGTGATGCTTTGACAATTTTTGATCGATGAAGATTCATCTCTGGTTGCTGGACCTGCAGAGGAGGCGGCATTTTTGTGGATAGCATCGGCAGTATCAGTGTCAGGCCAGGTGGAGAGTGCGACCGGAGTGAGCTGTCTTCAAATGTGGCTACCTATGGTGCTGGCATGCTTGTCCGTGCCGAGAGCCGAATACCAATTGAAATTCTGGTCTTGGGCACCAGTTTTGTGGGCAATGCAGCATTGCAGAAGCTCACAAGTGCATGGCTCGTGGAAGACAGCCGGGGAGACTTCTTCCGAGGAGTGACTGGTGCAGAGAATTTCGAGAATTTGCAGAGGGTCATCTCAACCAGGATGACCAAGCTTGAGCTACTTGATGGGGTGTCGATGGAGGGAGTGGCTCGAAACGATGCAGCTGATGTTGATGCTCTCACCTTGGGAGGTGGTGCAGGCATGCTGCTGGAGCTGGACCAGGGCACAGGGCAGAGTGGTGTGAGTGCAAGAGTGGAGAATGGCAAATTTGAGAGGAACTTTGGGACCTTGGGAGGTGGGGGAATGCATTGTGTCGATTTGGTAAACCTTATTGTCATAATGATGACAGGCCCATGCCGTCCCCAGTGGATGGAACCCTGCTGGGTTTGGCATGTGTGACTGTCCCTATCTCCCAACTGCAAGCTTCTGGCGATGCGCCAAAGAAGTTGATGTTATCCTGCTATCCTGCAGCTGGTTACAAACTTTTATTCTGAGGGCCATTTTGCTCCCAGCATTGTGTTGGCCCAAGACTTGCATATGCTTTTCCATTGTCAGATTATAATAGAGATGTATGCAAGACATGCAAGAATAACCTGTGTTGGAGGTGTGCCAATGGTACATCTCAGCGTTGTGCAGCCTGCTGCATTTGTTGCAGGATACGATGTTGTACAGTGGAGTACAATGTGCAGCACTGGAGTGAGACTGATGTATCTGCACTACGCAGGTGGCTTGATGGCCATTGTCAATGGCACCGATTGGAAGCCCAGTTGCCAACCTGAAGAAACAAGCTGTCGTAGCTTGAGGGTCACAAACGTGAACTTCACCCAGAATGGTGCTCTCTCGACTGCCGGTGGCCTGTTCGCCTCTGACCCTCGGAATGTATTTGTCGACGATGCCAATCAGACCCTGGTGGACTTTCTTGGACCCTTAGAGCAAGAGTTTCCTATTGATGAACCAATAACCTTTGTGGATAACTCTGTGGGTGAAGGGGGTTTTGGTCAGGATTCGGCCTCTTTCGCCAGTCGTCTTGTACTGAGCAATCGTACGATGCAAAGGGCTGTCGAGACAGAGAATGGCATTGTGACATTTATCAACACTGGCAGGCTCGACCACAACAGCTCTGACCCCTTGCCGGATCTTGTTATTGAGGTCCAGGACTCTTTCAACCAAACTATCACTTCTGGAACACCAGATGCACGTAAGTTGTGGGCACTTTGTGGTGATCTCAGTGATTGTTTGATTGCTCTTAGTTGAGTCTTCAAACCCTTCAGCGAAAGGGAATCCAATGCCACACAAAAGCATAGATATACATGTGGCTATCAGGGCATTGGGTACAGTGTCATGTTTGTGGGTTTGTGCTCGATTCAAAATATGAGTTGGATAGCAGAAAGATATACTGGTATGTTGCTGGCCGTTTTCATTTGTATCATGCTTATATTATATTATACTTACACCTATGCATGGTTGCCTCCCAGTACAGTGCATTTTGCTGTTGGTGAAACAATATAATGTTGTAGTATTTTTTGTTCGATGTCTTTCTGGTCCTATATTCACTTCAGATGCTTTCACATGACGTCCAGGATTGTTCCCCAGGAGAGAACTGCTCATTGTGCGATTACATGGGATGGAAACCCAAGATGTCGCGATGCTGAATTGGCGTTTGCCTTTGCAGCTGTTGGTTTAAGTTTGCTGCACAGAGTGTTACTATACGAGCATTGTCTCCATTGCCCAGAGATGCATTGCAGGTTGTGATATTTACAGAGATTCCCAGAAGCATACAAAGAATTTTGCTGCAGGACGAATTGGTGGAAAGCAGCAGGAAAACTTGTGTTGCCTTGCAATTTTTGTGCTGTGGTGATTAAGCACTCACCAGTTCTTTAATGCACTTTGTGCATTTAATTGGTGTTAGGCCTTTCTGTGGAAGTCACTGCAACAAATGCGACTCCAGGAGGAACTGTGGGTGACGTTCTCTCTGGAGCGCGCATTGCTGAAGCTGTCAATGGGGTTGCAACATTCAAGGACACCTTTGCAAGAGCCCTAAACGGAACTTATACTATGAAGTTCTTTGCACAGCAGCCACGGAGTTTGAGCACTCTTGAATCTCAGGAGTTCCAATTCATCGTCAGGGACTGCTTGATAGGAGAGACCCGCCTGGGTGTGGTCTGCACCCAGTGCCGCGGTGGCTTTTTCAGCCTGGACCCCAAAAATGATGTAACCTGCCATCCCTGTCCCTCCAATGCCGTTTGCAATGGAGGTGCCGCTGTAGTACCCAACAAAGGTTTCTGGCACTCCACACCATTCTCGTCACAGATCCACGAGTGCCTGTTGGTGGATGCGTGCCGGTTTGATGACAGGCAGAAGGATCTGCAGGAGTTCTTTAATGAATTTGCCAACTCAGGAAACTCAACATTGAGGACAAACGTGACTGAAGAAGAGTATGATCAGTGTGCAGAGGTACGTGGGGAATGTGCCAGTTCCTTTGACTGTGGATGTGGTTAATTGGCAAGCGCAACAACCTGCAGATGGCCGGTGTGAAGCAAGTGCTTTTGCATTGAGTTTCCTCCACACCCCATCGAGCCACACTACCGAGTGTATTTGTGTGTGTACTTGTTCAGCAGAAGAACATATTAGCGTGCCTGGGACGTGGTTCAAATGCGGTACATGCCAGGAAGGATGTTCTCACAAGACCAGGCTGTCATTCAGTCAAGATGCTGGTGTCACGATTCCTCAGCATCAATGATCATGGTGCCTGCAGTGCCAAGTAGAATGGGAATGTCTAGTGGAACAGTGCTGGCCTTTTCCTTGAGTGCCAGCCTGCACCATCGATAGTGCCTTTTCTTCACTCCATGGACATATGTGCTTACTCTGCCAGGGCTATGAGAATGTCTTGTGCGGAGCCTGCAGCGAAGGTTTTGGGCATGTGGAGTCAGAATGTCGCATGTGCGAGAAGAAGTCAAGACAGAGGTTTCTCTTCTTGCTGATCGTGATTTGGCAGCTTATAGTGCTGATGGTCACCATCAAGGGTGCCCTGTCTGCGGGAGCTGACATGGGAGACCTCAGGGCTTTCCTGCAGCAGTCGGGCATGGTCGCTGGTGACCCTGGCCAGATCGAAGGACGTATACATGGTAAGGCTCTCCATAGGTCTCATTGAAATCGGCTGCGTACAACTCCAATGCTCGTTGATTGATACATTGCTGTGTGACGTACTGGTTGCACTTGAAGAGAATTAAAAGTATGCCATTGGAAACAGATTGTGTGTCGCAATATTGTGAGGTTGATGAATGGCATTACTCATGCTACAGTAGGGGTCCCTACGTAGCACCCCCTCAATACTGCCCCCTTTTTTGGCTTCTCACCTTTTCCATAGTACTTATGCACCTTTGTTGCGCAGTGGGACCTCAAACTAGTACAGAGGTCCGGTTTAGCGACCCCTATTTAGCGACCTGTCTTGGTTTAGCAACCCCCTGAACAGCTCGCCACCAGTCACATAGTACTCCATTTCACTGTGACAGGCCCCAGCGCCTGCGGCTTCGGTGCTGTGTCTGTCGCTGGCACCGCTAGCCAGTATGGGCCCGGTAGGCTAGGCGCAGCGCCCACCCTACACCAGCGGCCAGGGACACCCTATGTAGCTAGAGTGCCCCCTCCACTGGCGGCCATGATCCACCTGCACCGGCAGGTTAGGGTACTCCCTACACCAGCGGCCAGGATACCCTTTACACTGGCTGCTTAGGGTAACCCTCTTAACACAATAACGCCTCCGGCCCCGAGTAGCACACCCCTTTTGGCCATGTCACCAGGGGAGGGTACTATATGTGGACCCCTACTGTATTAAATAAACGTTGCTTTGTGCAGCTGGCTCCAAACAGCAACATATCGATGCACAGGTTGAACTGTGGCTTCTGTGCTGCAGTTCATCACATTCATGTTCTTGTCATGTCAGCATTGACAGCTCAGCTGCTGCTCAATGATCAAGTAAATGGATAGACAGAAGGAAAGATGGGGGAATTGGCTCTGCCTCTACTTTCCTCTATTGCCATTGTCATCTTGTGATGCGACACTGCCGTGGCACGCCTGCTGTGGCAATCTTCACTTGTGTGTCAACAAAGGAGTTTGCCGACACAGTGAGCTGATCCTTCCTTTATATGTCATTCAGCACTTACCTACTACTATGATTGCTGTTATGGATAAGCTTTTAGGTTTGTTTGAATATGGCTGCGCTACAGCAGGTGTGCTGTAAATGCAGTTTTCTTCCCAACCACCCAGATACTGTGTGTTCACCGATGGGTTTGCCTGCTGTAAGACTTCACAAACTTGTTGTGCACAGATGCCGCTTTCCCGGACGATGGCAAGAACAGAAACATCCTCGATGGGGCGCGCACGACATCACTTCCAACTAGCACAATATATTCTCAGCAAAGCAATGCCAGCTATGCAAGTGATGGAGATCTGGGAAGTGCCCGGAGCCAGCACTCTCCAGGGTCTGCGCAATCCCGCAGCATGGCATCCAGGCCTATTGCTCGGGTATGGAGTTCTCTTGTCACTGTGGCAACATATCTCTGAGCTCTATTTATCATCCTGGCCTTTGTGCTTCCCACTGTCTGCTGTGTTGTGGATTCTGTATTTGTTGGTTATGCACAACCCTACAGTATTTGTGCATAGTATGTGCTGAATGTTTGCCTGAAACACACCTGAGTGCATTGAATTGGGATGTACACACTGGTAGCTGTTCTTGGAACAGAATATGTGGATGAGTGTGCGCCGGAGTGACAGATTGAGCCTTGCACAAGGTTCACCTCCCCAGCACTTCATCTCCTACAGACTACCGAGTTTTGTGGCAACTCTCAAGTATCACGTTTAATTCTGGGGTCCTCAACCAGTGTCACAGTCTTACAGGGGCAAGGCACCACCTTGGACACTTCACCAGTGGCAAGCTGTCCAGTCCAGAGCTAGGATGTTACTCAAGAATGAGCACTTGTTGGCATATGTTTATGACCCCATTCCTGTTTTTGCACCTTCGTATTATTTCTTGAAGCACATTTTCTCAATTTACCTGAAGTGTGTTGATAGGTATTTGCAGTAGAGTGCTGCTGCCCAGTTATCATATCTCAAGGAAATGTGGGGCACATAGAGCTATACTATTTTCTTTCCAGTTGTTGTGAGGCTTATCCTGTTGAGACTTTGTCACAATGTGGAGAGGGATGAGCGAAAGGGAGGGATAAATGGAGAGCTCACGATGCTGAAAATGTGTCACCTACTGAAGTCCTCATTCCGCAGCTGTGGTGTTGCCAAAATGTGCAGAAATTGGAGCAGCATATGGGACAGCCTGATCTGAGAGCCTACAGCGTTGGGACGATTCAGATTGGACTAAAACGGATAGGCACCTTGAGTGGTGGCAAGAGCCAACAAGTGCAGAATTCGGGCATCAATTTCAGCAATGCTGAGCAGCCACAACCTGCAATGCCAGAATCGTTCAAAACCATCAGGCATATCATCGCTGCAGAGTTCCTGTCAGAGACCTTTAAGGTACCTTGACACCAAGGAGAGGAGAGCATTCTGCTATTTTTGCAATTCTGCCATGAGTTCAGACTTGTTTCTGCAAAAAAGCCCCACAGTTTTGCCAAGACACACCCAGTGAGCCCAACAGGCTCTTCTCTTGTTCTGACTGAGGAGTGTGAAAAGTGGAGAATTTGCAATTTTGAAAATTGATCACTGTCATTGTCTCTCACGATTGCAGGAGGTTGTCCTTGGAACAGAATGGAGACATGTCACAAATTGGCAGAACCTAACCCCATGCATTGTGAGGCACCACAGGACATCGTCTCCCTGTTTGCTGGAGTCAGGCAGTCTTTCCTCCCTAAGTTTGCTCTTGCTATAGGTGTTTGCCTTTACCGCTATTGCATTGCAGCCAGGTTGCACAAGTTTTCTTGCTTCATATTGCTCTGCAAGCGATCTACCTGTTTGTTTGGTTCGAACCTGGGGAATGACACCTCTGTGGTGACAATGTTTTGCAGATTGCAACCAACTTCCTGCAAGTGACGAGCTTTGCTCTTGCCATCAATTCCAACTGGACGAAAATAGTGAGGAAGCTGCTTGGTGTACAAGGTATGAATTTCATCACAGTGCTCTGCAGTACTCTGCGCAGAGCTGCGGTTTGGAACGAAACAATGAAAGTAGCAACAAATCATCCAGTGACGGATTCACTGCAAAATGGTCCACAAGTGTGAGGGGTTTCATCACTGTGCACACATGCCCAACAGCTGAGTAGAATGTGCTGCTTGTCGTCTGTCAATAACTGCTTTTTCTTTTGAACTTTGAGCTGTACTCCAAAAACCATCTTGTAGACTACATTTGCTGATGAATTGCTTGCAGCAGCTGTGTGGACCATGGCTGTTTTTGGTTCTTCAAGTAAGACGTTGCATTCAGTGTTGCACTTTGCACCTGTTTGGTATGGGTCACCCAGAATCAGTTTTTTTTTTTTTTTTTTTTTTTTTTTAATATAATGTTTGCCTATGGCTGGTTGCAATGCTGTTTTAAGTTTCGTTCAAGTGTAATGGCGTGGGGAGTGAACGAGCAATGAGCAATACGCGTTTGAAAGCATGCACATGTTGTCGACATGGACGTTCTTTGTTTAGAGTTGTGGCCAGGTGGTGCAATATAGCCCTTTCAAGCTCCAGGCTCTTGCAAGCAAGCAAACGGCTGTGCACAGACTGTTCGGAGCACAGTCTCTGCAAAGCTCCAAAACGGGAATGCCATTGATGTGTACGGGTTTTTCGTGGTGTTAAAGGTGCAATGGCCCCTTAGCCCTGAAGGGCACTTGCAGCCAAATCATATTCTTGGACAGGAGTGGGATCCCAATGTACCCGACCTGTTCCAAAGTTATTGGCCTGTGTTCCATTGTCTGAAAGAGCTGGGCTTGCCTTTGCAGATGTGCTTGCTGGGTTCTCAGGAGGGTCGTCTCTGCTGTCCATTGAGTGCGCGATGCCCTCGGATCCCCTTCCACCTACGATCAGTTCTGCCCTCGTCATCATATCAACCCCATTCGCCCTCATGGTTTTTGTGCAGCTGCTGTTCCTTTGTTTGTGGCTCTTCCTCCGGAGGAAAGGCAAAAAGGGCAAAAATCAACACACGCAGGAATTTTCAGTCTTCAGGAGCCATGCAATCCTGACAGCCATCACTGCCATTTTTTTCGCATACGGCAACGTGACTGAGGAGCTGATGAAGATGGTGAACTGTGTGAAGTTGGATGAGGAGACAGTCGACGACCTCGGGTTGCCTGAATCGTACAGCAACTACTCCACTGCCAAGGATAGCTTTTGGGTGGAGGATACAAGCCAGAAGTGCTTCGAGGGAGATCACAGGTAACCGGCATGTGTTGGACTCTGTGCCTTGTCTGGTTGGGGTGGGAGCTAGATGCACCCAGCATTCTGATGTTGTGGGATTGTGGTTCCTAGGACTGTTGCAAGGTTGTTGCAGCCCACGGGAATCGGGCACTTCCTGGCTATTCATGTGACCTCCTTGTCATGCCACACACTGTGGGTGAGGATGTGTTCACTGATTTACTTGCAGGTACTTGGCCTATATCATTGGCGTGCCAGGAATCGTGCTGTTCACTCTGGGTGTGCCCATCCTTCTCTTTGTCTTCCTCATGGCGAAGAAGGACAAACTGTATGATCCTGACTACCTCAAGACCTACGGTTTCGTCTACGAGGTGTATGCAGAGGACCATGTGTATTGGGAGGTGATCACACTGGCAAGGAAGGGCCTCGTGGCAGCCATCGTCGTCTTTGGCTACACGTTGGGGCCCAACCTGCAGGCAGTGCTCTCATTGGGGGTGCTTATTTTTGCACTGATCCTGCAGGTTGTCGCGAATCCCTACAAATACGACCGCCTGAATGAGTTGGAAGGGGCGTCGCTTGTGGTGACGATGGTCACTCTGTATTCCAGCCTTGTGTTCCAGGATGACAACACCAGCAATGCAGGAAGGGTCGCCATGAGCGTGGTTGTCACGATCTTCAACGTGGCTTTCGTGCTGATACTGTGCTTGGAGATATACATGAACACAGACCGCTATGCAGACGCCAAGATCACCCATTACGGAGGGAGTGAGGCGCAGGGGAAGCTGCTACCCATCAAACTCATGCTGGTGGCATGGCACTTTGTCAAGCAGAAGGTTACTGCACCTGTAGACCCATCGGACGAGGGCTTTGTCCTTTCCATCAGGAAGAGGATTGCCAAGTGAGTGTGCTGAAATGAAAGGAAAAACATGCTGTACTGGACACGCCAGTGTCTGCATATGTTTAGCATGTCGAAGGCAGATATTTTTGTTGGATGGCTGTGAGCGACTGCACCACTGTGGACTGGTGAAACAATTTTGGTATCCCCAAGGTTATAAGGCCAGGCGATTGAAATCGAACAGGTCCAAGCAGGGGTACTTCTGCACAACTATCGAACGATAAGGACAAACGCACAGCATTGATATGTGCAAACTGCAGGCCTTGCTGCGTGCAGCTATGCATGCAAGTGCATGTCTACTTGCAGAAGTCGTGGCTGGGCTGGTTGCTAAGGAGACATGGGGACCGTTGGCTGTACTGAACTTGTGTTAGAACCTTGGCACAATTTTCAATTTCAGCTATGCATTCTGAAATTGAAAATTGTGCAGTGTTATGGCAGTTCTGCAGTTGCTTTGCTCATAGTACTCTATTGATGTCCCTGCTCGGAGCCTGCAGATGTCGTGCAAGTCAATCCGATGTACCAAATTGTGCCGATCGCGCTGAAGACTTCGCAAAGAGGGCGTCGGCAACTCCATCTATCATTGAACGTGGATTGCATCCAACGGCATATACCGCAAAATATTCAAGCCTTCCACATAGTAACGTGACGCCTGGCCATTTTTGCGGAGCAGTAGTAAAAACGCAGCGGTGCCAAGAAGTGTGGAGCAGCCCAAACCGCAACGCAAGGTTCTCTGGACTGCTCATGGCGTCTGGCGGCCCCGGATGCATGAGTCGGTGTTGTGGAAAACCGGGTTTTGAGGTCATGCGAACGCAGCAGAGTCGCCATTCCGGCTGTGACCATGATGCGGAGGCCACAACCTGTCGAAAAATCCGGAGCAAAAATAATAACGGTGAAATTTTCAGATGCAGAAGGGTTGAATATTTCGCGGTCTGTGTCAGTGATAGCAGCAACTGTTTGCATCAGGACAGCCACTTGTATGGAGGGTAAGCTTCTTTTGAGATCGGTGGGGCAGTTCAGTGCTGGCTGAGCACATGCTGTGTCTGATTGTGCAGAGTCATGAAGTGGAAAATGCAGTCGAGTGACCCGCTTCGTCCAAACCTCCCAGCAGAGCATGTGGATGGCGTCCTTGTTGGCCACCCTGAGACGATCGAAGAGCACAGATCGCAGGAGATGGAGGTGGCTGCGTCACTGGGATTGGGGATGGGCGCCTCGAAAGAGGGCCTTGACTACAAGGAGAGAGAAAGGGGGCTGGGAGACGATGAAGCACCTCTGGAGAGTGTGGACGTCGTAGACCTGTCCCCAGTTAAGAGCTCAAGCGACAGGAGTCTGCCATCCACAAACGGAGGGGGGGGAGAGCTGAAGCTTGTCAGGAAACCCACCTTCCAGGGGTGAGGTTATGCTGGACGCTGGGTGTGAGCTGTTCACACTGTTGCAAGTTTCAATGCAGTGGACAACCATAAGCCACAGCCTCGACCTGGTGATCGGCAGTGTGGTGCTGGCTTCCCTGTATTGAATTGTCGTGTGCCAGTGCTGCACTGTTCTGCACCACACAGCGGCTTGCGAGGCGAGCGATTCGATAGCATGGCGGAAGAAGTTGATGTCCACAGCTTGTTCTTTTAACTCGCACAGAGGTTATGATGGGTCATGATATGGGGTAGAGAGGATGCCACTGCTGATTGATCACAAGGGGAGCCAAGCCAATCTGCTCGAGGAAAGATGGGCGGTGCGTGGCACACGGCAACTGGCAGCGAGGGAGTAAGTGTACTACTACATTTTCGTTTCTATGGCAGAGCTTGGGATAAGTGTCATTTGTGTTGGGGCGTTATAAGGCGCCATTGCATAAGGGCTTGGGCTGTGGTGAGGGCAGCGTGGCTGGTGCTCGTGGACCACGTGGATTGAACACATATCTTTGTGCTTTATGAGGAGGCAGGAACACTGTTTGTAGTGCACCGAACGAAGTTTGTCGTTAATTCATCGACTCGACAACCATGATAAATGGTGTTGACGAGGATATGCAGCTCTTGCTCAGGCGTTCAACCTGGGGTCTGCTGTATGGTGCGACACAGGCTGCGAGTGCACGCTGCCAACGTCACACTTGTCCCATCTGTATGTTGTAGTTATCTTTGTATGTCGTCAAGCGAGTGCAGGAGAAGCCCTAGAAATACAGCTTTTGACGAACTACGCCTGCACCAAACTCGAGGGTGGTCAGAGCAGGGGTGGTTTCCTGGAGCTACTCCATGGTGTTATGGCGCTCGCACTGGGACGACAGCCTGTTGCCCTGCATAAGCTGGGGAACGTGGAAAATATGGGTAACTCCGTTCTAGCTGGTGCTTACATGGGAACCGCATGAGCACCCTGCAATGGAAAAGCAGGGCTGTGTTGACAGCCAGCGTATTCACATGATCTGTGTCAAAGTGCTCACATGATTGACTCTTCCTTTGGTGTGTGCATCACGGCAGCCTGCACAAACCTACCACATGCATGGTGCAGGCATCCATCTCTGGGTTTCTGATGCCAATGGCAGGGGGAGCACGGCTGCCGGGTTGCACTTCAGCCAGCTATGGCAAGGTAACAGAGCCCCCCCCCAGTCCCAAATGCTACGAAATTGACCACGGCACGAATGCTTTGAAACGACTTCTTGGATGAGCAGCGTGCCCCCCATTGGGAGGCAGTCCAAGGCTTTCTCCAGCTGAATGTGTACTGCTGTGGATGCCACTGAATGGGATGGCAGCATACAGCACCTGGAATTGAGCACCCTGCCCGAAATGATGACCAAGGAACCAACCGACAAGCACGCCATCGCTACCACAAGTCTCCTGCTCACTCTTCACATACCACTGCCAAACCTCTGGCCCAAGGACATGATTAACCCCCACTTGCACTCCAAGTTTTCATGCCATGGGCATCAGGGGTCATCACTGCACAGTCCTGGCGTGGGTGCATGCAACCCCGTCTGGCTACCCACCTCCATTTGGGCAAGGGTGCACAGAGCCCCAAGCAAAGAAGGGCGTGGAGTGGGTCATGGGTCACTTCATTAAAAGAAACAACAAAGAAGTGTGCATGGCTCACAGGTGAATCCAATTTTGCATCCCAACCACAGCCCGATCGGGATTATCCAACCTCATCATCCGCCCACAAACAGGCGCAGCTCCGCATCCAGGCTCTACAGCAGCCCGTCCACCCGTCGTCCCGCCCCCTCCCCAAGACCACTCCAACGAACAAGGCCTTTCTGCCGCCCTCTCCTCATCGACCCCACCGCCACCGGGACACACATCCCTCGAGCTCACCCGGCGGCGACGAGCTCCTGTCCTCATGTCGGAGCCCCCGGCGGCAGCGACGCCTGGGGCACGTGGCTCCCCGCCCGCGACCTGCGGGGCCGTCCAAAGCGCCACGGAAGGAAACACACGCACCCACACCGTGGTTACTCGTGCCTGGCGCAGGGTTGATGCAAGCAGTATCGGTCTCCGGGTCTGGGGCTCGGACGGGTCGGTCTGGCGAGGTTGCCCACCCGATGTGGCCACCCAGGCATCATCGTCCCGCGCCCGTCCCTGGGCCCCGGCGTCGCCTGGCCGCGCAGCCACCCGGGAACGGTGCCCATGGGCACGAACGCCGCTCTCAGATCCCCGCCCCGTTCTGCGTCACCAGCGGCGGCCGCACCGTTGGCTCCTTGCGCGACACCACGCGGATCCCGTGCTTCTGCTCCAGCAGGCCCACGGCGCCCTCCGAGATGCCGGGGCAGCCCTTGAGGTGCAGGCTGGCCAGCCGCCGGCAGCACCGGCCCAGGGCGAGGGCCGACTCGTCCGTCACCAGGCGGCACTCGTTGAGCACCAGGTCGCGCAGCTCGGGCAGCGCGATGAGGCCGAAGAGGGCCTTGTCCGTGACCTTGCTGCAGGCACTGATGTCCAGGTGCATGAGCGGCGCCAGCGTGGCCACCGCGGCCAGGCCCGCGTCGGAGATGCGGTCGCAGCTGGAGACGTTGAGGGCGGAGAGGTGCCGCAGGCGGCACAGCAAGCCCAGGCCGGCGTCGGTGAGCTTGGCGCAGTGCGAGACGTCCAGGTACTTGAGCTGCGGGCAGGTGGAGACTATGGCCAGGCCGCCGTCGCTTATCTCCGCGCACACACTCAGGTCCAGATACACCAGCTGCTTGAGGCCCCGCAGGAAGCCCAGGCCGCTGTCCGTGATCTGCCAACAAGAGCTGAGCTTGAGCACGCGCAGGCCGGCCATGAGGCCCACCGCAGACAGGCCCCCGTCGCCCACCAGCCAGCAGGCGCTCAGGTCGAGGTACGTCAGCCGCTTGAGCTCCAGGAAGGCGTCCTCGATCCGGTCGTCGATGCAGCGGCAGAAGCTGATGTCCAGGTGCACCAGCTTGGGCAGGCTCTTCAGCCTCAGCACGCCGTCCGCCGTCACCTTGTCACAGCCGCTGAGGTTGAGGCGCTCCAGGTCCGTCAGCCGCGTGAGCGCCTCCAGCCGCGTGTCGATTACCTCCTTGCTCCCGCTGAGCGCCAACGCGGTCAGGCCGGTCAGCAGGCCCACCGAGCGCAGCGTGTCGTCCGCCGCGATCCGGAAGCACGACAGCCGCAGGCTGCTGAGGCTCTTCAGCTTGCGGATCTTGCGCAGGCCGTGCACGGTGACGATGCCCTTGGCGCTGAGCGGGATGTGGCCCTCCAGGTTGAGGAACCGCAGGTGGGACAGCCGCGTCAGCGGCGCCAGGTCCACCTCGAACTTATCGTAGATGTTGCGCAGTCCCAGCATCTGCAGGCTGGGGAAGGTGCGCACAATGCGGCCAACCTGGGACGTGCCCGGCTCCAGGCGCTGCAGCGTCTGGCACACGCAGGCCGCCCACTCGCGGCAGGTCAGCCGCACGGACCGCACGTCGCCGAAGGCCAGGAGGTTCACCACGGCGGAGAAAAGCCCCTCGGGCAGCTCCCGCCAGGCGGAGGGCTGCCCCGTGTCCTCCACCGTCGACGCCGAAGCGGCGGGCGGGCCGCAGGGGGGGGGCTTGGCGCTCCGATGACCCACCTCGAGCACGGCGCGCCCGCCGGCAACCGGCCCAGCGCCCCCGCCGCCCTTGAAAACCATCGGCCCAGCCGTTCAGGGAGCGCCGGAGGCCACCCAGGGGCCGCCGGGGCGCCGGGCATGGTCCTGCGGTCTCACGGGGCTGGGCTCCATCCTGGCGCAGTGGGGACCCCGCATTGGCGATCGGGGGCCCTTGGGGCGGTCCCGCCCAGGGGTACGATTAGTGGGGAGGCCGGTCACGAGGGACGAGCGCCGATCGGCCCCACGTCGGCCTGCGGCCCGGCCCGCTGCTCGACTCGCCCCCTGCTGCTGTACTTGATTGGCGTCGACCATCACGCGGCTAATGGAGCGCGGCGCGCGGGAGCCGACCGGGCCGGGGACTGGATCCGCCTCCTGGAGCCTGACAACGGCGCGCCGACGTGGCGATCGGTGTTTGGGGTACAATGGGTTACTATTTTTTTTTGCGACAGTGGATTGTTCTTTTCTGCGACAGTGCCAAACTACTCTTTTTTGCGACAGTGGTGATAATTGATGCGCGAGATGTTGGCATCAGATTTGCCACACCACCACTGCACGGTCCACCGGGCCTCCTCTCACAACGGCGCTGAAGGCGCGTCTGTTCGGAGAAAGGACTAAAAGGCGAAACGGGAACGTTTGGGGACGCCCAGGGTCCCCACCTTGCGGAAGGGGGCTGCCACTACTACTCGGCGATCACCTTGGCGCTGAGATTCAGCCCAATCGGCTGAGGTTGCAGCCCCCCGTTTCCTCCCCAGATCTGTTTTTGCCGTGCTAGCCCCCTGAAATGCGGCCACTTGGCCGCGCGGGGAAACGTCGCCGCGAACCGGGACCGGGGAGTGTTGCTCGTGATGCCGGACGGGGAGGCCAAGCCACTGGTTGCCAGCGCCATTGCTGTCCAAGCATCGACCATCAAGGCACCCACGCCCAGCGCCGTTGACTGGTCACACGACCAGGTTTCGCTGTCGGGTGGGGGCACGCCCTGTGAGCCACGACCTGTGGCGGGCTGCCACTGGAGCCATTTTAGCGATTGGCGCAGCCCTAGTGCTCATTTGGCGCCGCCTGGCCCTGTGCGTCACCCAGACCCCAAACAAGCACAGCGTTGACTCGTGAAGTTCAAGGGAGTGGAAAACGGTCCCCCGGGCGGCGAACAACAGTGACGGCGGCTGCTAGCGGCCGGTGGCAAGTGACGGTGGAGAAGGGCGGAGGGCAGGTAGGCCAGCTGGTTCGAAGGCCCGCCGCTTTCCCAAGCTGTGTATTAGTCATATTCACTGTCGCAAAAAAGAATAATCCACTTTCGCAAAAAAGAGTAGTTTGGCACTGTCGCAAAAAAGAATAGTCCACTGTCGCAAAAAGAAATATTCACCGGTACAATGGGCAATAAATAATGAATTAATGCCCACATTACGGACAGAATACGGTGTGTGCATGCCGCAACGAAAGGGGTGCTCGTGAGGCCGCAAGTTGGGGTATTGAACGCGAAGGCCCACCACAATCGTTGAAAAAAAAACTTGTGGCCTCACTTGGTCCTTTTGAGTGGTGTTTCGATATTTATGAGTCCAATACCCCACTCAAAATACAACAAAATAGTTGTGAATGCACAAACACAACAATGCTTTCATAGCACTGCCTACAAATATGTTTTTTTACCGCTTTCCTGTGGTTGCCTTCACGGTGTTAAATTTTATTAAGGGTACATATATTATGTGAGAATGAAAAGTAAATGGTTTAGAGATTTTAAACCCATTCGGTGATGTATGCTGATACGTGATCATTATTAGTGTGGGGCGCTTGCCCTCTTTAAGTTGCGGACCTGCCTTGCTGGGCGCCTAGGCCCTTATGTTACACACACCGGCCTGGTGTGGGGGACGCCCCACTCATGGCCCCTTGGTGTAGGGGACGCCCTGCCCAAGGTATGTTGGCGTACCCTAAGCCACTTAGCGATATTATACGATATGGAAATAGGTTGGGGTGGTCCCGCCTAGGTCCCCGTAAGGACCTAGGTGCCCGGCGAGGCGAGTCCGCGGCTTAAAGAGGGCAGGTGTTGTGTGCGTATATGGGGGAGTTACAGCCATGGACCTTGAGGTCACAATTTTGGACATGGTTGGTCACATATTGGGAAAAACAATGGGATTGTTGGTTTGTTGGGTACACTGGTGGACGGTCCATACGTTACAGTGACAATACATTATTGTATGGTGTCCTGGCTCACCCAATATAGGGTGAGTCAGCCTACGCAGTGTGTTTTGAGTCCTGCGCAGTCCGCGGGACCCTGTAACCCGTTCTACATCTGTTTCCTTGCGCGTCTGACCACTGCGCGCGAGTGCACACCGTGCCGCCGGTCCATCCGTCCTTAGCAGCACCCAGGCCAATGGTTCAGCGACCAGGGCCCACCACGCGAGACCGGAGGGGCGAGCGCCCCGATTGAACATGCCGATTCATACACACCATGCAATGCATCAGCAGTACTTCTGACATTTTATATGTGTTTGAATATGTGAACGACACCATAGTGAGAAACAATACACAACACCAACAACACCGTCATTGAGTGATTAGCAAT